GATAGTTCACAAATGAATTGGAAGCATCCCTTGCAGAGAGTGCTAGGTATTAGAGGTTCAGCTGAAAGAAAGCCGGTAAGAACAAAGCCTGACAGGTGACATGAAGAGATCAGCAAATGACATAAGCAGCTTTATGGGAAGGTCGTAAGATGCAACTTCAGATATAGACAAGTGTTCCACCTGGGATATAATCTTTGGAGAACAAGTTAAGCAGATTATGTTTTTTCTCCCAGCGATGGCACAGATATCTGTGGGAAAGTGTACGTCTATGTTTATGAGGATTTTTCCTGCTCATTTATATTACTACTATGTTTAACTGAATACCTTTGCTTTAAGTTAAGGTATAACAAAGTTTGGCTGTTTGTTTTGTTTTGTATTTGTTCTGATCTGATCTGATTTGATTTTAGAGAAAAGGATTGGGACGGCGCTCACGATAATATGGTTTTAGTTAGACGCCAACTGAAAAAGTAGATGGAGCACACTGAATTTGGGTGTAGCTGTGTGGAACCCACAACGAGGAGAGGTTGGGCTACAAACGAAATGTTTTGTTTGGTTCAAATGAAAACCAGTCAAGGGCAATGCAAAAGAAAGTAGGTGTATCCTCATCACTAGAGTCAATTTGAAATATCATGTTTCAGTCTAGGCCACAAGTGAGCTGGCAAAGTGTACCTTGAGGGAAAATTAAACCAATTCCAAACCCCAGAACAAAACATACAGTTCATCCTGAGCAGTTACAAGATGGTATTCAAATGCACACGTGTGTACGCATGTGAAGAGAACATATTCATAATAAAAATTAAGATAACTGTAACAAAGGGAGCTAAAGGAGAGTAGGGAAAGAAACTCAATAGGATTGGCCCCACACGGCTCAGGATTATCCTCTTCCTACCACAGAATTTGGAGTCAGACCCAAGAATCATTCTCTTTCCACAGCTGGTAGGTAAAAGCATTTCATTTAACAGAAAAGCAGAGTGAATCAATGCCACTTGTACTGAAGGAGGTAAGCTGAAAATAAGTATTCTGGCTACCATCACCATCCCCCCAAAAACGCTTATTTAAATGCCTGGTGTTTGAAAGAAAAATTTTAAACTCAAAAGCTTATGGAAGTGATTGTTGATAAATCAAAATAAATTAATGAAAAAAATAAAAAAGAAAAGTTCATCTTAGAACAGATGAAAGAACATACTCGTTTTTTCTTCTAAGATCCAGAGGTTGGTGAACCTGGGTCTTCATGACAGCTCTGCTGTTTTTTTTCTGTGTGACCTTGGGCAAGTCACCTAACCTCTCTAGTTTCTTTATCTTTAAATTAAGTTCTTTGAGAGTAGGGTTAATTCTCTTCTTTGCATTTGCAAAGAACCTAGAACATAATAGACACATAAATACTTGTTGGCTGTTCGTTGGTTGACTGACTGAACGGTCCCTTCCAGACATAAATCTCATGATCCCATGATCGTAAGTCAGGCACGCAGAGACTTGACCTGAGGGAAAAGCTGAGGAACAATTTGAAGAGCTAGCTGGTACTTTGTGCTGACTCTTCCTGACTTTCTTGACTTGCTATTCAGTTGGTCAGGATCTAGTCAAGGTAATGGGTTCCTTCATTCTATGTCCCTAACCCAAGGGTCAGCAGTCTCACAAATATACGGGTGGGTCTGTGTAAAACTATCACATCTACTGGACAAAGACTGCTATAAACACATTCCCTTCTGACGGTGGGTTGGAAGCGTCAACTTGGTATATAAAGGACGATACTTTAAAAAGCCATTTTCCTCCCTTTTATTTCACTCAACATACATCACGCAGCGCTCTGACAGGCTGACTGGAACTGATTTTAGGGGCACTCAGCTCAGATGAAGCACCAGCGCCACCTTGTGTTCAAGCCATAAAACTTGGGTCTACAGCACAAGACTGGAGCCTAATTGGTATGCCATCCAATACAGGTCAGTTCCTGCAGCTGTACCTAGCAGTAAGGAGGTAGTGTTTACCACACTTTACTGCCAAGTTACTAAGTCGATCAGATCTGGGACTGATGTTTAATGGGTCCAGATGTATATAAAAAAAGACAGATGTTTCATTCATCCTCTACATATAACACACCATCTCGGAATCTGAGTAGAAGGAACTAAATGCTCAACCTGGTAATACTGTAGTGGATATACCATTTTCTCATGGTACAGGATTTTCTACTTAAGTGACTTTTAATTTGAGGGACAAAATAAAACGCAACCTTTACATTCCTCCCAATTCCAACTGTGGGTCAAAGGAAAAGAAAGTCTTCCCTCCTCCACCAATATGCTTGCCACTAGATGTAATTTTCATCTTCCCCAGTTTTCTTTTCCTTTCCCCACCCTTCTTTCCCTTCTGTGCAGTTTTCTCTTCACAGTCACTATCACCACCATTCTGGCCCCACATATAAATAATGTGCACTGAACACACATGGACCACCCAAAGGCTCTTCCTCTTTCCCAGGAATCTCTCACTTTTAGCCAAACCACATCCATCTCTCATGTGGGAGAGAAAAGACAGGAACATTGTGTCCTCTCTTAGGGAACAGCTGCTGGTCAGCAGGGAGGAGCTGACTATGGAAGGAGTGGTAAAGCCATGCACATAGGGGTATGTCAGCTTTCATGGATATAGATGTCATATGGTAAGGTCAAGCCCTGCCATCTGGACTATTCTCACCACCAGACTTTCAGGCTGCACTAATATAAAACTGACTGGCAAAATTGAACAGTTCCCATTTTTAAAGCACTAAAAAGAACCTTAACTGATTATTGGATTAACATGCTATCTATCCACCTGAGGAATGAGGGAACAAAGGAATAATTCATCCAAGAAGAGCAGATAACACAGAAATGAAGAAAATGAGAAGGGACAGTGAGAAAAGAGAAGGGGGAAATGACTAACTTGCTGGTAGATGGGAAGTTTCTTGACTTTCTGGCCAAGACTCTGCGCTGGTCCCCAAGAAATAAGGATAATCCCTCTGAAGAAGATGACAGCATCAAAGATTTAGGGCTGGAAGACCCTTTAGAGGTCATCTAGTCCAATCCACTTATTTTAAAGATGAGGATACTGAAGTTCAGAGAGGTTGTTACTTGTATGAAGTCACATAAGTAGTAAGGAGCTGTATGGGGATTTGAACCTAAGGCTCCTAGCTCCAAATCTAGGACTCTGAGGATACAATCACAAACTCATCATATACTACCTTTATGCCACTGAAGAAGAAAGTAGGTAATTTTAAAAGTATCAGAGGACTCTGAACTAAGGGAAAACCAGTCTCTAGATATTTTAAAATAAAGTACTATACCTAGAAATCCCTAAACAGAAAACCTAAGGACTGTTTCTTCACATCCCTGTAGTTTTTAAGTCCCAAAACATCCTCTGAGGGTCTTTGATGTGGAAAGTAGGATGTAAGGTCCTTCTGAACAGGAAATATTTTTCTTGTATCCCCAGCTCTTCCAAGGTATCCCAGTCTATCATTGTAGGCACCTCCTTAATAAATGTTTTCTTGTTTGTTGAATTGAAATTTCAAGATTCTCCTTTGCTCTTCTTCCTTGTTCACTTCTAATTGGGCTTTTTATACTCTCATGGGTCATGACTGTTTCTTATAATGATCATATTAGCAGCCCAAAGAATGCTTTTCTGTTGGCCCATGCTATCATCACCAGTTAGCAGCTCTGCTCCAGAAAGCAGGGGTGAGAGCTTCTACTTCTATTGTATTTGTCATCCTTCCCCCACAGGGTTGGGCATACAGTGGGTGCTCAACAGATACTTCAGGCAGGCAGGCAAAGAAGCATGTACTGTATGCCAAGCACAGTGCTAAGTAAGCACCCGGATGCAAAGAAAGTCGAAAATAGTCTCTGTCCTCGGGGAGCTCACATGCTAATGGAGATAAGTAGGAATAATAATGATTATATTAATAATTAATATAATTAACAATAATAATAGGAAACAACTAGGCAGATACAAGATTTATATAGAGTAGATCGAATGTAATTAAACGAGTTTTTTGAAAAGAAGAAAACCCACGGGAAGAAAGCTGTAGCTATAAGATAACCTTCAATTTACTCGGTGATGATGAGGATGATGATGGCTAGCATTTATATAGTGCTTACAAATAATATCTTATGCGATCCTATTATTTCCATTTTACAGAGGAGTAATCAGACTTGCCCAGGGTCATTCAGTTAATAAGTAAGGCAGCATTTGAACTCGGATCTCCCTGAGTCCAGGTTCACTGCTCTATTCACTAATAACAAGGGTTTTAAAGTTTTAAGGTTTGCAAAACGCTTTACAAATAGTTTAGGAATCATTTTGTCCTTACCCTGGGAGGTAGGTACTATCATTATCTTTATTTGTCTGATGAGGAAACTGAGGCTGGGGGCCTTTCAGTGATTTGTCTTCAGGGTCACATCCCCGGGCTGCCCCAGTAAATTTAGTTATTTACACTCGGTCTCTCCCATTAGAGAGTAAGCTCCTAGAGGGCAGGGACCAAGTTTTTGCCTTTCTCCTACTTCCCAGCGCTTAACACAGTGCCTGGCACATAGTATGAGCTTTTATAAATGTCTGTGGACTGACTGACTAAGAGAAGAGAGGGTGCCTTGATTTTTTTTTTTAATGTCACCTATTTTCGCCCCCGTACTAGTCTTTTTAAGCACTTAGGTTCTAATACCACAATACAGAGTGCACAGAGCCTTGACACTAGGAAGTCTGAGCAAGCGCAGTGACGTCATGAAGGGGGGAAAGAACCGCGGCCAAGCATCCTCACTGCGCATCCTCCTAGAGCACGCTCACTGGGGCTTTCCTTCTCGCCTTCCCCTCCCCCTCTCCCGGCACGAGGCCCCGCCTCCCGATGTCGGCCTCTGTTTCCTTCAGTGTCAATAAAGTTGCGCATCTTGGCGCTCGCATCCGGCAACATGGCGGCCTCCATGCTGTCTTCTCTGCTGCGCTCCGTACGTCAGGTCAGTGTCGAGCGTAGTCGGCTATCCCTGCCTCACCTTTGCCCCCCGATAGCTCCCCGAACCCCGAAACTTGTTGGCCCAGAGGGCTTCTCCCAGAGGGGCAGAAGAATGAGTGCAGCGAGTGTAGACGGACAGCCGGAAGCGCCTTCAAGGTCACTGGGCAAATGAGGAAACCGAGGCTTCAGATAACAGTGCTTATGATATTGATAATAGTAACAACAACTGGCATTTAGATGGTGCTTTTAAGGTTTGAAAGCTCTTCTTTTGATCCGCATAGCAGCCCGGGGAGGTGGGTGACGTTATCACTACTCTGTTTTACAGATGAGGAAACTGAGGCTCGGGGCGGATAGACGACGCTCGTCGGTTGGGTTTGAACTCGGGTCTTCTTGACTCCAGTTAAATGTCGCTGCCTAGTGCCCGGAAGTGAGGACTCTCGGGGACTAAACCGCAGTGCAGACATTTGAATCCAGGCTCTCTGACTATTATTCCCTCTGTGCCCCCACAGGCAGCCGTGGGCTCTGGCATTTTTAGGGCCCTTTAAGAGCTATCGAGTAATTTACAAATATTACCTCATTTCCGCCTCACTGAAACCCTGGGAGAAAGGTGCTGTTGTTACCCCCATTTTGCAGGGTAGGAAACTGAGGCTAGGAGCGGTTAAATGGGTGTGTCTGAGGTAGGGCATGAACCCCGGACTATTAAATCTAGCACTCTCTCCATTGCCAAAGCTGCAAACGCTGTAAAAATCATGGAGTTGGAAGAGAGGGACCTTGTAGACACCTACTTCAAGCCCTACCCTTTTAATATTCAAAGGAAAAAAAAAGCGAAGGGTTATTACTTGGCTAACATCATACAGACAAGGAACAGCCAGAACCTGAATCTGGGTCTCCTCAAAGTCCAGCGGACCTTGCAGTCATTGAACAAATATTGAGGGCGTTGAGGTGCTCTGGAGGATATAAAGAAATCACTTTAAGTCTTTCAGCTGCTCGATTGGGAGGCTTTTTGTCGTCCTGCTTGACCTCAGCAGCTTTTGACATTGTTGACAAACCTACTCCTGGATGACTAGTGTAACCCTATTCCCTTCAGGCTAGGGCACTAACCGTCTCCCACCTAAAAGGCTGTGTTTTGGGTCCTTTTCTGCACCTGTATCTACTCTCCCAGTTGTGATCACCATAGCTTCCAAAGGATCAGTTATCATCTTTACACAGATGAATCCCAAATCCAATCCAGATCCCTGTCCTGAACTCCTGTCCTCTATCTCTAGCTGCATACTGGACATCTTCACCTGGTTGTCCTATTCGTATCTCAAACTGAGCATTTCTACAACAAAGCTTAGCATCTTTTTCATCACGGCGGGCAGCTAGGAGACACAGTGAATAGAACATGGGGCTTGGAATCGGGAAGACCGTAATTCAAATCCTGATTCAGAAACTTCCTTGTTGGGTGACCTAGGCAAGTTATTTAACTGCTCTCTTCCTTAGTTTCCTCATCTGTAAAGTGGACATAATAATAGAACCATCTCACAAGATCCTTGTGAGGATCCAATGAGATAACATGTAAAGCACTTTGTGAATACATATATATGTATATGTAATATGCTAGATATTATTATTCCCCTCTAAACCCACCCTTCCTGTAAATCTTTCCTGACACTGAAAATTGTTTACTTAGTAAGCAATTTTTTTTTATTTTTAGGCAATTGGGGTTAAGTGACTTGTCCAGGGTCACACAGCTTGTAAGTGTTAAATATTTGGTTTGAGGCTGGATTTGAACTCAGGTCCTCCTGACTTCAGGACCAGTGCTCTATCCACTGAGCCACCTAGCTGCCCTTCAGTAAGCATTTATTAAGTGCCTACTATATGATAGGCGAAGCTGTAGGCACTGGAGATACAAAGACAAAAAAACAAGCCCCTGCCTTAAAGGAGCATACTTCTGTTGGAGGAAAACATATACATGATTAAGTAAATATTTAAAAATATCTGTATTATATGTAAAGTAGTTTGGGGAAGAGCACTCATGGGGATCCAGAAAGCCATGTGTGGCAGGTATGTAGGATTCAGAACCTGAGTCATCCATGACTGTTCTCTGTCTCTGTTGCTCCTGTATCCGGTTAGCTGCCAAGTCTTCCTCATTTCACCTACACAACATCTCTCAACTCCATCCCTTTTATTTCTCACAGTAGCTGTCCTCATCCAGGTCCTCAGCCCCTCTCCCTTGGACTATTTCAGTAGTTTCCTAAATGATTTCCTATTTCAGTGTCCACCTTTTCCATTCTATCTTCTACACAGCTGCCAAATTAGTGCTTAAGAACCGACTATATCACTCCCCTGTTCAAAAATGGTCAGTTGATCCCTTTTGCTTCTAAGATAAGGTGGACTCCTCAACCCTGCCTTTAGAGCTTTCTGTTATCTGGCTCTCATTTACCTTTTCAGACATTTCATATGACTTTGCTTCACATATTTTGTGTTCTTGCAAACTGGCTTGCTTGATATTTCTCCAAAGTCAACATTCTCCTATCTCAGCACCTCCAGTTCTGGAACATATTCCCTCTGTATCTCTACCTCTTAAAATCTAAAATTCCTAGCTTTCCTTGAGACTCATCTCGGCCACAAATCCCTGTTCAGAACCTTTGCTGATCCTCTTAGTTATAATATTCTTTCCCTCCTCAATTGCCTTATATTTACTTGTCTATGTGTGTGTTATTTCTGTTCAGTGGGAAGTAAGTTCCTTGAAGGCCAGGATTTGTTGTTGTTTTCTTTGTCTCCTCAGTACCTAGCACTGTGCTTTGCATATAGCAACTGCTTAAAAATATTTATTGAATAAATGACTTCCAGGAATTATATGACAGGAAGAGAACAAGGATTGCTCATATGGCAAGAGCAAAGGATGACAGATAGGTGATCAACTAGAGTGCTCCACAGTAACCTCATAAGGCTTCCAGCATGTTGGGTGGACTTGTAGGGAACTTTTGGAAGAACATCGACAAAAGTCACATAGAATGAGGGAGAAATGGATGAATTGCCATGTCTATCAGTGGAGGAACTCCTAGACTGAACAGATTACAAATCTATTTGAGTGCATGTCACATTCCCTTGGTAGAATGTAAGTCTCTGGAGGGCATAAACGGTTTTGGTTTTTCTCTTTACTCTCTGCACCAAGTATGGTACCTTCTTCAGAGCAAACACTTAATAAATATTGCATTAGAAACATTAAGTCAGGGGCAGCTAGGTGGCGCAGTGAATAGAGCACCTGCCCTAGATTCAGGAGGACCTGAGTTCAAATGTGGCTTCAGACACATAACACTTAATAGCTGTGTGACCCTGGGCAAGTCACTTAACCACATTGCCTAACCCTCCAAAAAAAGAGAAAAAGAAAAAAAATATTAAGTCACATTGCACAAAAGCTATAAAAGGGGTGGGGGATTATGAAGACAAGGAATAAAGCATCAGTTTTACTGTCTTTTTGTCTTTTTCTTTGACCGTCATCAGATGGTTCCTTTTTCAGGTACAGGACAGATACGAAGTTACCATGTGGACTGGAGAATGCTGCGTGATGTAAAGAGGAGAAAGATGGCCTTTGAATTTGCAGATGAAAGGCTTCGGATCAACTCCCTCAGAAAAAATACTATATTGCCAAAAGATCTCCAAGTTAGTTTATTTAAGATTTAAATCTAAGAAATTATACAAACTAATTCTCTTGAAACTGTCCTAAAAAGGCCAAGGTTCAAGAATGCTACTCACCCTTAGTTGCCCTTTCATACATTATACTATATGATCTTAATCATTGTGACATTTTATCCAACACATATTTATAAACTACATACTATGCGAAAGGCCCTGTGAAAGACACTTTTGTGGTGATTCTAAAAGAATCAGAGAATTGGAGGGCCTGGTGTATCTTGAGGTCCACTCACCATCACTTGAAGTTAACCCTGCAACACTCATGACAATTCCTACCTATCATTCAAGGCACATCTCTGTGAGCCATATACTTCTCCGTGGCTTAGTCATCTCTCCTATGACCTTTGTTTACCTTTTATTGTTCTCTGAAGGCCTGACACAACTTTTGTTTCTTCTCAAAAAGGTTATATGCTCCCTAAGGACAGGTTCTGTGTCTTACACTTTTTGCAACCTGGAGCTTGTCCCCCCTTCTTACTACAGTTCATCTGACGGAAACCTCCCTACCCTGATGCAGAAATAGCCTTGAAAAGTATGGGACTGACCTGTAGGTCAAAAGGGCAGATACGAATAAGCTTAAGGCAAGACACTGGCCATTTCTTTCCGTCATTTTGTCACGTAACATACTCATATGATAGAGGAAGAGGAAATTATATACATATAATATGTACATACACACACACAGAGATACACAATATACATATATATACGTATATTATATATACATATATATGTATATGTGTATATTATATATATATACGTGTGTGTGTGTTATAACCTCATTTCTGTCTTTACTAGCCCAAGTATGTCTCTTTGGGAAATAAGTTTGTTGGGTTTAAAAATTACCTATGGTTGACTCTTTTCCACACCAAGGTAAATCTTATTCTGTGGTTAAGTTCTGGCTTTAATTCTACAGAGAAGTGAACCTAGTTAGTTTAACTTTGTCTATAGGGATAAATGTAAAGCTCTTCAGTAGGGTTGGAAAAATCAGTTTCAAAAGAGTTATGATGAGAGAAATGTGGATAAACGGCAATTCCTATCAGTCAAGAAGCATTTATTGAGTGTATACCAGTATCAGGCATTGTACTAAGTCCTGGGGATACAAAGAAAAGCAAAAAATGGCCATGCTCTCAGGAGCTCACAGGCTAATGGGGAGACAACATGTAAACAACTGTGCACAAACAAACTATGTGTAGAAGAAACTAGAGATACTCTCAGAGTGAAGAGACTAAGGTTAAAGAGGGCCTGGAAAAGTTCTTACAAAGGTGGGATTTTAGCTATGACTGAAGAAAAGTCATGGAAACTAAGAGGTGGAGATGCTTATTGGATTATAGAGCGCATAAAAGGTGTAAGAAGACCGTGTAGGAAGGGACCAGATTATGAGAGGCTTTAAAAGTTGAGCAGAAGATTTTACATTTGATCTCGGAGGTAATAGGGAGTCATGGAGTTTATTGAATAAGGTAACACGGTCAGACCTTCACTTTAGGAAGATCACTTTGGTGACTATGTGGAGGGTAGATTGTAGTGGGCAGAGAGCCAAGGTGAGGCAGGGAGACCAATTAGAAGGCTATTACAATAGTTCATGCATGAGGTAACGAGGGCCATCAGCAGAGGAAAGAAGAGGTACTCTATATATATATATATATATATATATACAGAGAGAGAGAGAGAGAGAGGTGCTATAAAGGTAGAAATGAGAGGAGTTAACAACAGATTGGATACAGAGAGTGAGAAAGAGTGAAGAGCTGAGGGTAAAACCAACGTTACAAGCCTGGGAGACTGAGAGGATGATGGTGCTCTGGTAATAGGAAAGTTAAGAAGAGGAAGGGGGATAAGGGGAAGTTTATGAGTTAAGTTTTGAACATATTGAGTTTAAGAGATAAAATAAAGATCCAGGGATATCTAATAGGCAGTTGGAGGTTAAGAAAAGGGGTAGGGCTAGATAACTAGATTGAGAATCATTTTTGTAGAGATGAGAGTTGAATCCATGGGAACTCATTTGATCACTAAGCAAAATAGTACAGAAGGAGAAAAGGTCACAAAACAGAGCTTTGGGGGATACCCGTGGTTAGTGAGTGAGAGTTGGAGGAAGATCCAGCAAAGGAGAGGGAGGAATGGTCAGACAGGTAGGAGGAGAAACAGGAGAGAGCAATGTCACAAAGATCTGGAGAATATCAGGACAGCATGAGGTCAGGGAGGATGAAGATGGAGAAAAGTTCATTGAGAGGTCATTGGTAACTTTGGCAAGAGCTCTTTCAGTTGAATAATGATTTCAGAAGTCAGACTAGAGAGTTAAGAAAAGAGGAAAAGAAGTGGAGTCATTGATTGTAGACAGCCTTCTTGAGGTTCATGTGGGGAAAAAAATCAGCTCTGAGGGCTTTAGTAGATTGCAAGCTCATATGAGTCACTGGTGTGATACACAGCCAAAAACAATATTGTCTTAGGCTGCATTGAAGAGTCATGGTGTCTTGAACAAGGGAGATGGTAGTACCACTCTACTCTGTCGTGTTCTGAGCATACCAGGAGTACTTTGTTCACTTTTAGTAGGTCTGCTCACTGACCAGTTGGACCATGCCCGGAGGAAGGCATGCCAGATTGTCAGGAAATTGGATACCATGCTGTGTAAGAGTCATTGAAGGCATCAGAACTATTTAACTGAGAAGACTGACAGGGAGGGGGTACAGGGAAGGGGGGGGTGGAGGATGTCTGTAGGAGAGATATTTAGATTTGTTTTGCTTGTTTCCAAAGTATAGAATCAGATGTAGAGTTAGAAGGAACCTCAGAGGCTGTCTAGTTCAAGCCCCCCCCCCATTTTACAGATTAATTAACAAGCTTGTGAAGGCTAAGTACTGTCCCAGCTAGTGAATTTCAGAAGCTGCAGAGGTAAGTGTAGACTCATTGTGAGGAAAGCTTCTGAATAATTAGAACTGTTCACAAGTGCAATGAGTTGCCTGAAGAGGTAGCCATGTCCTCATAGGAGGTCAAGTGGAGACTGAAAGACCACTTCGCAGGGTAAGGGGATTCTTACTTACCAGCTTACGGCATCCCAGTTCCCTTTCAATTCTGAGATCCTGGGAGAATTGGAGTAAGTGCCTAAAAACCCCTAAGAAAGACCTTTGCTGACCTTCTCCATTGGAGAATTCACACAGACTGCTGATCCTAATGAGTGAGAACTATGCAGTAATACTATCTTTTTTTTCCCTAGGAAGTAGCAGATCAGGAAATTGCTGCTTTTCCTAGAGACAGCTGTCCTGTCAGGATACGAAATCGTTGTGTTATGACATCTCGACCTCGGGGAGTGAAGAGGCGCTGGAGAATCAGCCGGATTGTCTTCCGGCATCTGGCCGATCATGGGCAACTTTCTGGGGTCCAGAGAGCAATATGGTGAATCAACTCCAGCACAAGTTACAACAGCATGGACACTGTGCTTAAGCGTTTGGCATTGGCATTAAGGAATGTGACCGCCATCATAAATAAACAAGCAGTAAGCAATGGCCCCATAGGATAACTGCTTTTCTCAAGTTGATTTTTTAGCAGAAAAAAATCTTGGTATTGTAGAAATCTGTGGAGGACATGGTCTGTGACTGAATTGCTTTCTTATAATTGAATTTGTTACTACTGGTAAAGAAAAAAAGATTTTGATGTTCAGAAATTTGTGTTTTACTTTATTTCTGCTTAGTTTAAAGCTGCTTGAAGTGGAGGGGAAGGCTCCTGAATTTTAGAAGGCTCTGCTAATGGGACACAAGCTGTGGTAGGCCCTGTTAAGCTGGAGTCAAGTCAGGTCAGCAAGCATTTAGTAAGCACTTTATTATGTGCCAGGCATTGACTTAATGCTGGGCATACAGAAAAGGGGGGTAGGGAATAGTCTTTTTTTCCAAGGACCTCACAGTTCAGTGTGGGAGACAGCAGGGCAAACAATTTAAGTACAAACAAGACATACACCGAATAAATTGGAAATACTCTCAGAGGAAAGACACCAAGGTTAAGGAGGACCTGGAAAAGCTGAAGGTGGGATTTTAGCTGTGACTTAAAGAGTCATGGAAGCAGAGAGACACAGAGAGAGCATTCCAGACATGAAAGACAACGAGTGGACATGCCTGGAGTTGGGAGAAGGAGTATCTTGTTCATGGCAAGAAGTGCCATGGGTCACTCACTAGATTATAGGGTACAGAGTAGGTGAAAGAACATTGGAAAGATGGGGAGGGGCCAGATTATGAAGGACTTTAAAAGCTGAGCAGAAGATTTTATATTTGATCTTGATAGGGAGCCATGGAGTTTAATTGAATTAGGTAACATGGTCAGAACTTTGCTTTAGGAAGACCACTTTGGTGACTGTGTGGAGGGTGGATTGTAGTGGGCAGAGACCTGAGGCAGAGAGACCAATTAGAAGGCTGTTGCAGTAGCATGCATGAGATGATAAGGGCCATCATTGGAAAAAAGAAGGGAGTATATATGAGAGGTGCTGTAAAGGTAGAAATGACAGGAGTTAGCAACCGATTGGAAATGGAGTGAGAGTGAAGAGTTGGGGATAAAAGAGATTATAAACCTGGGTGACTGAGAGGATGATGGTGCCCTCCACAGTAACAGGAAAGTTGAGAAGAAGGGAGGATTTTGTGGGGAAAGATAAGGAATTAAGTTTTGAACCTGTTAAGTTTAAAAGGTCTGTGAGACATCCAGAGATGTCTTATAGGCAGTTAGAGGTCAGGAGAGAGGGTAAGGCTAGATAGATCTGAGAATCATCTACATAGAGAAGAGAGTTAAATCCATGGGAATTAATGAGATCCTGAAGCAAAGTATTATGGAGGAAAAAGAAGGCGGCACAAAAAAGAGCCTTGAAGGGATACCCATGGGGATGAAGATTCAGCAGAGGGGAGATGGTAGGAGGAAGTAGAGAGGGAGGTCTTTTTTTAAGAATGTGCCCTGTGCCAGGCAATTTACTAAGTGCTTTACAGATGACATCTGAGATAGTGACATTTTACAGTTGAAGACTCTTCCGTAAGCAGGCTGTGATTTACCCAGGGTCATATAGCTTCTAAGTGTCTGAGCCTGAATTTAACTTGAGCCTTTGAACTCCAGGCCCAGTGCTCTGTCTTGTTCCACAGCTAGCTGGTCAAAGGGTGGTCAAATAGGTAGAAAGAACTAGGAGAGAGCAGTGTCACAAAGATGTAGAGAGATCAAGAAGAGCATAATCAGCAGCATCAAAGGCTGCAGAGAGGTCAAGAGGGAAGACTGAGAAAACGTCATTAGATTTAGCTAGTTAAGAGGTCATTGGTGACTTTGGGAAGTGCTGTTTCCTCCTATGATGGCCCTCATTACCTCCTTCATGGACTACTGCAATAGCCATCTAATTGGTCTCCCTGCCTCAGGTCTCTACCCACTACAATCCACCCTCCACATAGCCACCAAAGTCATCTTCCTTCTGAAACCAGACTACAGAGAGTAGAGGAAAAGTGGAAGTTCCCCTTGTAGATATCCTTTTCAAGGAGTTGAACCACAAAAGGAGGTGGTATGAGATGATAGCTAGTGGGGCTAGATGGATCAGGTGAGGGTTTTTTGAGGGTGAAGGAGACATGGCCATGTTTGTAGGCAATAGAGAAGCAGCCAGTAGACAAGGAATGATTGAGGGCAAGTGAGAGTAGGAATAACAGAGGGAACAGTCTGCTGGAGATGTCTGGAATGGGATCACTTGTATACATTTGCCTTGATAAGAAGAGCCACCTCTTAAGGGGGAGAAAAATTTTAAACTCAAAAGCATATGGAAGTGATGGTTGATCAATCAAAATAAATTAATCAAAAAAAATAATAAAAGAAGAGCCACCTCTTCTTGGGAGATGGGTGGAGTAGATCGAGGTAGAAGGCTTCTAAATGATATCAAATAAGAAATAGGGAGAAGACGGAGGTCTCAAATAGCCTCCATTTTTTTTTTCAGTGAAATGTAAGGCAAGGTTCTCAATTGAGAGGGTGAGGGTAGGGGGACCCATGGGTATTTTGAGGGATGAAGGTTGTAAAAGCCACTGTGGTAATTGGGATAGTGAATGTTAGGGAGGTGTGAAAGCAGCGAGGGTCTGGTTGAGATTAAATAAAATAAAGTTGTAGTGGCCCCAGTTAGCATGGTTGTATGTTCTTCATTCTGTGGTAGGAGTAGGAAGGCCAGCAGATGGCTGCCTGAGTCTTGGCAGAACAAGGTCTTCAGTAGAATAAGGGAGCAAGAGACTTGAGAGGACAGTGTTGAGAATGATTGGTTCACTCAGAGATCAAAGTGATCAAAAGAAGAGGGTAGCCTGGTCAGGGATGATAGCCAGGGAAAGGCCTGAGGGTTCAAGGGATTAGATTAGGTCATGGTGAGAAATTTAGAAGAGGGCTGGGGATGCAAAGAAGTGGGAGAGATGGAATGATGACAGCTTATGATCAGATAAGGGAATTTCAGATTTTATTAACATGAATTCTCGTAGGTGACCATTTTCTGTGTGTAGCTGATGTGGGGTAGAGGGCAAGAGAAATGTGGAAGTTGAGGAGTTGAGAGGTTAGGTTGTTTTAGTATTAGTATGCTTAAGTCCTGTGATATGAGAGGAGTTGGAGAGAAGAAAGACTATGAAGTAGGTACTAAACTCATTCAGGAAGGAATTAGTGTCCTCGAGGTCATTAGGCTATAGCCAACTAGTTTTGAGTGATAAATGTGGATTGAATGAACCTCAAAGATGTTACTGAATAATGGTGGTAGGACAGCCTCAAAGTGGCAATGCAGAGTAAGGAGCATTTCATCTCCCCTACTATGACCAGTGAATGTTGGGGGAAGGAAGAGAAGGGTGTGGGGTGGGGAGTGAGTGGGGTAAGGAAAGTTGTGTCAAGAACAAGGTCCCAGTGAATGCAGAAGGGAGAGCAAGAGAGGAAAAGGTTTACAGTGAAAGCAAGTGTTACCTATGAAGTTGACATTCCAGAGAGCACAAGAGACGGTAGCTTGAGAGTGGGTCATAGAGGGTTTGGGTTGGGGGGATGGGAATAAGGGAGCAGTCACAGGGAAAATGAGTTTTGAACAGGGTTCAGAATCACTGGAATGGATAAGCAGTGATGCTAAGGGAGTATGGCAATTGAAGCTTCAAAGCATGGGTTTTTTTCAGGGTGACTTTGCCAAAACTCCAGCCTAACTTTGCAAGGGAATGGCACCTTTAGGGTGAATTTTTTGGCTCTAACAACTTCCAGTGACCTTCTGCTAAATTACTGAAGGGTTTTAAGATGGATCACTGGAGTAGTTATACCAGTGAAATCTGATGCTTCAAAAGTTTTGGGTTTCTATGATGTGCCTTTTATTGCCCAGCCTTAATAAGGGACTACTCATATTTTGTTTCGATAGCTCTATTATTTATGAAGGGACTCTCTTCAACAATACAAATTGCAATCCATCCATGCCTTCTCATTCTGGGTAACCTATATCTGTGTCCTTCCATAAATCCTCCATAGGAAGTCCACCCAACTAAGAGTCTCTGCAACTTTTATCATTTGCTGACTCATTCTGCTTTACAAATCATGGAAAAACACCACCAGCTGAAAATACTGGTTAAAAAGATGGGTTTTTGTTACTTTAAGAAACTCGCAATCAGTAAAATTTGTTAAAAGCACCACCAAACAGTTAAAGGAAAGGTGTCTTCAAGCCCCCAATCCTGCTGCTGCTGATTCAGATGTAGTATAGTATAGTAGATAAGAGTTCAAGGCCCCACTTGGGAGTTACTAGTTTTTTCATGTGTAGATTGAGGCTATAACACACACTTCTATTACCTAGCTCAAAGAATTGCTGTGTCAAAAGCCTGAATGACTGAATTGTATTTAAATAGCATTTCTGAACTACCCCAATCCTATCCAGTTTTAGTCAAGTTTAAACAAGCAGAGGTTGGAATAAAAGTTCCTAGATTATCACTGCTATTTTAGGGGTTGGCATTTTTTTGTCCCAAGGGGAATTACTTTCATTCTTTCCATTTATAACTTAAAGAAATAATTTTTAGAAGTAATTTTTTAAACACTTTCCTAAGGAATTAGATAAAACTTTTACTATGTTATATTACTTTTCTGTAGATATCTAGCACTTAATGATGCATGCAAAAAAATAAAGACAAAAGGTTGCTAGTTATTTTTTCTTTATTTTATTACTGTTATTAATTGTTAAATTCAGGAGAAATTTGAGATTAGTTTTTACCACTATAGGCTTATTTGCTCAGTTGTGACTTGTTTGAATTTTTAGTATATTTTCAAATAATTCCCTAATATTAGTAGACTTGCCTTGTGGTAACACCTGGTTATTAAGTTAATCCTTTAAACTTGAATCAAGTGCTCTTTATACCAATTATAACAGTAACCGAACATTCCCCTCCTATTCCTTAAGGAGCAAGGGTCATCTTATACCATAACTTATTAACACAGGCTCACACCTCAAATTTTATACCCGCTCCTCCTAAAATATCAAGTTGAAGGACTCAAGACTAAATGTCCAGGCCCAACCTTGAAGGGAAAGCAAGATTACTTTGAACATTAGATTCAACCCCTTTAATTGTGCAGATGAACACCAGAGATAAGGAATATATAGCTTTTTAATTAGCAAGACTTTTTTTGACATTGAAGTAAGGAAACAATGACCCTTTCTTGCACACAAAACCAGGGCACTAAGGCAACTTTCCTTGAAAGAAGTGTTTTAAAATAAGCATATTTTATTTTAAATAAATCCTCCAGCATGAAATGGAAAGAGTTCATGGTCTTTGCTTGGAAGAAGGCTGTGTAAACAATATACTTGTCAAATACATCTGTGCAGCTCAGCAACAGTTCCTTATTGGAAAGGATATTTCCACATTGGTGGCTGAAAGGACTTTTTGTCTCAAAATTCACTCTCTCCTTTGGCTTGTTTCTCCCTTGACTCTACCCAGGCTTTATTAATAGTTCTCTTCATTTCATCATCTCCATCTTCATAAATTTTCTTCAAAACATTCATCAGCCCCTCACTAGGATCTGTGTCATTATCAAAGGAAGATTTTCTGTCGAAAAAAGGAAAATGGAATAAAGCTTTACAACAAAACTTCCCTGCAATTAACAAATATCGAATTAAAAAAAATATTTTTCTATGTCCTACATACATTTTGGCCAGTTAGACTAGCTAGTTAAAACTGAGTGCTCTAGGAGGCCAAGGTTAGGTACCTTAAGCCTCTTCCCCAACTCTGACCTGCTGCTTCACAGAAATATGCCATTAATCACAAGCTGGCTGGCCCAAAGAACGGGGGAATGGCTAGCCTACTTCAATTCATCACCTTAAGACAATAGAGCATGATACTACTGTAGGCCCACCCCACCCCTCACTCACCCACCCATAAATATCACTGGACTTAAAATGTGAAAAGATAATTCCTAGCCACATGTTTTCCTCAGGATCTGCTTTGACAATAGAGAAGCAGCAAAACTTTAAGAATATAACCTTAATTAACCCCCTTCAAGTCAGGTTACCCCCGCCAAAAAACAAAAACTACTCTGTAAAAATTTAAGTGCCAACAGTCCAAAACCCTGCACACAGCACAATCATCTTGTACATTATCTAAGCTGCAAGGAAAAAGACTCACTCCTTCTCTTTGCATTCTTTCTCCACCTGGGTCAGGTAATCCCATTTCTGTTCCTGCTTCTTTTTGCATAGTACAAGAACTGTATCAGTCTTGATCTAGAAGAGCCAGGAAAAAATACAAACAAGATATAACAGATTCTTTATGTATATAATATTTATTCATAACTTTTCCACTCCATCATAAATAACTTATGCATTATCTCATCTGACCCCTAGAACAATCCTCTAAGGCTTGCCAGTGGGTACACAGTTAAAAGTGCCGGGATCTCATATCTTCTGATGTTCAGTTTAGTGATTTTTCTACTTTACCACACAACTCCTTAACAAGGTAGACTGTAACACCTTGTAACCTCTATGTTAATAGGGTTGCTTTAAGACCAAAGCTTTCTACAGACTAATTTCCTGCTTCTCCTTTTTTCATTGATTTGTGCTAAGATATTGCTCATTATTTTGCACCACCTCCCTTTACAACATTTCGTCAACAAGAATATATTTTAAACCTTTGTTGCCATGTTTCTCTAAGGAGATCAAATGTTTGCTTTAAAATTATAGCTAACAAGTTACACTTTGGCCTACTCATTTGTGAGGACTGTTTTCTATCAGCTGAACTTCCAAATGCCTACTTCTAATCACCTGTTATTTTTATATCTCATTGAGAATAGTTTTGATTTGATTGGCTGCTCACTAATCTCACTTTGCTAATGACTAAACTTTATTTAAAGCTTTGAACTTTTCTGAAAATAAAGTATTAATCTCAATAGTTGTCTCCAGAAATAATTTTTGTTTTTGATTTCAACCACTGGAAAAAAACACAGATGAGAAGAAAAAACTCACTACTGAATAATGGGATCATATGTCAACAGCAAAAATTTGGGGTCTGCAAAAGTAACTATAACCTTGTGCCAATTGTTTAATTTTATCTCTATAAAGAATTACAGAATGGCAAATATTAACTGTTCCACTATATGATGCTAATTAGAAGTAGTCTGGAAGGAGGCTAGTTTATATGAGTGGTAAATACAGATTATAGAATTTTTTTAAGGCAGTTTCATATTTTTATTAGTATTTATCAACCTCCCAGTAGAAAAGAACCTTTAAAGGACTAGATTTAATGGATAAAAATAGTATCTTTATCTATACAATTCTTTTAAGACTGGGCTGGAAGTACAAATGGCTACTCTGGAGCCTGACCCTACTGCTGATGTCACACAAGCTGTGACCAGCTCTACTTCCAACCTGGGCTAATTTTCCCCTTCCTAGGCAGCCTGGTGGCTTCCCCATTCCAAGGAAGTCACCATACTATGCCAAACAGTGCTTACACCCCATTGGTTTTAGCTAAGAATTCCCAAATCAAGGGATCTACCAGCTTCACTCAGCCTCTTTAGTACCAGGATTATAGGCACGTGCTACCAACACCTTGCCATAAATGCCACCGCTGTTTCACCCCGTATTTTTTAAATGCTCCAAATAGCTTTTCCTTATTTCCAGGCATTTTCCCCCATGACAAGTGAAAAAGCAGACTTCAGTCCAATCTCTGAATTTTCACAAGTTTAGACCTAGCAGGGTCTAAATTAATCAAATGGTACAATGTGCAATATAATTAACTATACAATATGCTTACAAAAAAAAAAGGGAAAGAACTAGAAAACTCACCTTTCTTAAACTACCTTCTACAGAGATGGGCTTCAAGAGGTTGTTGACAGTCATAGAGTAGTTCTTCCCATTAAGATTCTTTACAAGAACTTCAAATGACCTATAAGGTAAACAAAATGATAGAGGCATTATCTACTTGGTTCTATGAGACTCAAGATGTTAAGAAAAGTGGTCAAAAAGCCTGAGAATTTAGGTTTTCCTAGGGTTTTATAATCCCTGCTGCTTCCTGCAGTATTTGATGAGTCTTACCTCTCAAATATAAAGACACAGATTTTTCAAAGCCATAGAATGGGGAGATTGATCATAAAATTTAAATAGACTTACAGGAAGCTTCACATGGGAAATTTACCATGACTAATAAAGCAATCAATGAACCACAAAAAGTCGTGTATTCCAAATTACATTGTATACTTACCTCTCTTTGAACTGCACCTGTACATTCTCAGTGGGGACTTGCTGAACACCATTTAAGGTGATGTAGATTTTCACATATTTATCTGATTGATCCCATCCTACACACACAGAAAGGTAAATTAGCCAGACAACTCTCTAAATTTGCTCTGTAATATAATAGATAGCTATGGCTCATACTACTACTTGGTAATAAAAATAGATAATGGAAGGAATGTAATAATGGGAGTGTTTCTTATGTATACAGTAGAAATTTATATTCATAAAATACCTTATTAGTTTATAAAACTCTTTCCTCACAAGTATATACTACAAATACTGCAATCCTCCATTTTACAAATGGGAAAACTCAGGCTTGGAGAACTTAAGTGATTTTATCTAGCATAAAAGTGCTATAATTCAAACTTAATTCTTCTGAGTATATATCCCACATTGCTGTGCTGGCTCCACAATATAAACTCATCAATCACAAAAGCAAGGCCTAGAATTAAGTAGCACAGAACTAGAAAAGATCACACAATCTTTCTGGAAATGTGAAAGCCAAACACATTCTTGTCATATACCTTCTCTTCTACTCTTATTCTGGTGGTTTACTAAGCTCCACCAATTGCATTTAAAATAATTTTTTTGGTTTCATAATTTTCCTACTTCTTTATGCTATTTTTAATGTCCAGTTCTTCATCCATTAAGTTAAGTTACCTCATAATCGTAGTGTTTTCTACAGCTTTCAAGGTGTGTTCACAAACACACTCAAGACAAGAGACTCAGACGTTCAGACCCAATGGCACAAAGAAAAATCAGGACTTGACACTAAGTCTTGTGCCTCCTATCCAGTGGACTAAGGGTTAGGCAGGGACCTTAGAGACATTGTAGACAAGGAAAGTGAGGACAAAAAAAGTGAAATTATGCACACTAATAAGCAGAGCTAAGCTCTGAGCTGAAATGCACTGGACCCAATTGGGGGGGGGGGAGGCCCTGCTGCTATATCACTCAGTCTCCCAATCTGCTAAGACATCAATATTCTGCTTCAGGTTCCTAAATCGTATTTATTCAGGTACCAACAAATACTTTATTATATGCCCCACAGAGTGAGTACTGTCTTTTGCCTTTCTTTGTATCCCTAGTGCTCAGCATAGGGCCTGGCACAACAGTAGGTACTTTACAAATGCTTGCTGACTGACCAAGGATGTATTTTTGAACAAAAGCTTGTATTCTTTCCCCAACCCGCTTAAAATCTAATGAATTCTTAATCAACATTAACATATATATAAACTACATATAAAAGGCATGGTTTAGTTATCAGGATGGAGTAGAAATGTTGATGTTATGTAAATGAATATAGACCAGGGAAGACTTCTAACAAAGATGTTGAGCCAAATTTTAAATAAGAATAGTGCAGGAAGGTAGAAAGAACACTCAACTGGAAATCAGGAACTAGGAATGGAGTCCAAGCTTCCTTAACCTTTTTTGCGAAATGGACCCCTTTGTCAGTCTGGTGAAGCCCATGGACACCTCAGAATAAAGTTTTTAAATGCATAAAATAAGATACATAGGATTACAAAGAAATCCAATTATATTGAAACACATCAAAATATTTCTTTTTTAAAAAAAGAGTTAACAGATTCCAGGATAAGAATCTGTTATCAGCCAAACTCTACCATTTAATTAGCTATGTGACGTTAAGCAAATCACTTCAATGGAATCACAGAATTAAAAAACTGGAAATCTCAGGTCATTTAGTCCAATAACATAAATATACAACAGGGAACTAATTCACTACTTCCTAATGTAGTCCACTGTAAACAACTTAAAACAACTTTCTAAATTCTTAGAAGTTTTCCTTAAAATGAGCCAAAATTGATCTCTACCTATTTCTAGATCTGCCCTCTAAAGCCAGATAAACCCTCTTCCACATGACAAGTCTTCAAATATTTGCAGATGCAACATTTCCTCCAATAAATTTTGTCTCTTCCAGGCTAAACAGCCTCAGTTCTTTCAACTAAAACATGCTCAGATGGCATTTCAACCCCCTGAGCCTGTTTGCACGTCCCTTACAACACTATAAATCAATGATTCTGCTGTAAAGATGGATTCTTTGTGTCAGATAATTTTTATGGTTGGTTTAGCAGAGGACAGAGAAAGACTAGAAAGTATTATTTAGGATACCCTGGATCCTGAACCCTTCTCATTATTGCCCCTCCCCTTCTCTCACTTGCCCTTAATTTAAACAATCTAGCTGTCCTGCATAGGCCTTTTGGGATGCAGCCTTGTTTTTCATCTATAGCACTGAAAAACAGAATTCCTCAGATTAAACAAGAACTGATACCCTCTTACCCCTTCCTATCATTTATAACGACAATGAGAACAACAACAAAAAAATTCATGTGTTGGTGAGTTCACAAAGAAACAGAAAAGCTGGACGTGGGAGAAGCAGCCATACCATAATTGTTGATTTTCACTGTGTACCCAACTGAAATGGGGGCAACCACAGCTGCTGGTTTCTCCTTATCAATAGTTTCTCCTTTCTGCTGTCCATTCTGCTTAGTTTTGTGCTTGATTTCTGTCTCTAACTTGGACTTTTCTGCTGTTAGGACATCACAGACTCTTTTCCTAGTGGCCTTTCCCAACAACTCCTTCACTTCTTCCAGGTCTTTCTGTAGCTGTTTAAAGAGAACAAAATATGTTTACTATGACCTAAAGGATAAAGATCCATTTGTTATACCCAACTTATATTCTAAACGCTGAAGTGGAAATAGAAATAAGTTCTACGTTATTCTGGCTTGGCAGACCACCTCTTATAATGTGCAATTCACAAAAACACAAAATTTCAGATCTGAAAGGGACCTCAGAGTTCAACCTATACCTTACCATAAAGATCCTCTACAATCAACCTGCCTGACAAGTATCCAGGCTTTGCTTGAAGCTTTCCTGTGAAAGGGAACCAACTTACCGCCTGTGACAGATCATGCCACTTTTGGATAACAAGTTTTCCCCTTATATCAAACCTAAATCTGCCTTAAGGAAAAAAGAACCCCACAAATATTGTTTCTAGTCCCTCAAAGGTGGGACCTAGCAGAATAATCTAATCTCACTTCCATATGGATAGTCCTTCAAATACTTAGAGCTATCAAGTTCCTCCTCAGCTTTCTCTCCTCCAGGTTTAACATTCTCAGGTCCTTCAACTAATCTTTGTGGGAATGATCCCCAAGGCCCTTCACTATCCTGGTTGTCCTCTTTGAAAATGCTCTCCAGCTTAGTATTATCATTCCTTAAAAGCAATGTCAAAAGGAAATGTACCTTGCTGGCCCTGGAAGTATGCCTCTACCTCTCTCTTAATGACCCTAAATTCTCACTAGCTTTTCCTTTCTTCCTGTCAAATACGCTTTTTTCCCCTTGTGCCCCTTAACAATACCCATCAAACTGATAGTCAATTTTGAATTCTCTAAACCACATGACATGTTTCACTGGATAGCTGATCGCCTCTACTTTGAAATGCTATTTCTTCATCACATATTCAAAGAATCATATAATCAGAGCTGGGAAGTATTTAAGAGATTTATTATCCTGTGTAAAAAATACAGAACAAAAATCATTTCCAAAATTTGGAACTCAAAAACTTGTGGAAATGAATGTTGAAAACTAAAAATAAATAAATTTATCTTAAAAAAAAAATCATTTCCTTTCTGAAGTTCTGCTATGATTGAAAAGCCACAACCTCCCTCAAAACAGACAGCTCCAACACCACTAGATGTAAAAACAAAAGCAAAACAAAACAACAAACTCCTGAATTCCCCAACCTACCTGTAGGACCTTGGGACAGTCAGGGGAATTGCAGGAGTCAGACCCCATGTGCTGAGGTCCCTTTTTGCTCCAGATCTATGATCCTATGAAGGGGAACTACAATCCAAAAAGATCCATAGCCTGCATTTCCTGCAATCTATAGAATTATGTTATACTATATACCAGAATATCTGATTGGAAATCTGATTTTTCTATACTGAACAATGTTGTTCCTGTGACATCAGCAAATCTATGTCTTTAAGTGCACTTAATATAATGTGACACCAGTGCTACCCTTTGGAAATCAATGATGTATTTTAATGGTTTCAACAGTAATGGCATAACTACTATGTTCATATCAAGCATATGGTGTTGCTGCTCATAGAACAAACATTTATTTCTTTAAGTATGTGAAGCAAAGCACATTTATCTAATACTCCTATCATTCCAGTTCTCTTCCTACCAACTGAACTAACTCTACTGGGGCTATTTCTTAAAAATCAATTCACCCAGCTCTGTTTGGGGGAGCAGACACAGAGATAACTTTAAAATTCTTAATGTCTGCCTTGTGTTTGGAAATTCCCAGAGACTTGCCCATCTTTACCCTGTCCTAACTCCTTTCTAGTCTAGCCCTACTACCAGGAGTCAGGGGTTTAGAGAAAAGAAAAAAAAAATGAGGGGAAGAGGAATGGAAAAGGCTAAATGGGGAGGAAGGGAAAAGATCTGCAAATGATCCCCACCCACCAAACTTACATTTTTGTTCCTGTTTTCTTTCATACAAACACACAATAGCCTATGTATGAGTTATCTCAGTTTAAGATTCTACCCTGATGGAGTAGGAATGAGTATTTTAATGGAGCTCCTGGCTTTAAAAAAAAAAGATATCTAACAGCAAGCAGCATCGAATGATTTGCATATGGACAGCTGCTAAAACAGTCTCAAGTAGACAGAATGGTACTTGAATCATGACCACTTAAAAATACGTTACTTAGAACATTAAAAAAATACATAATACAAAGCACAGCAAAGGAATTTATAAATAATTGCTTTTTCTAACTTAGCAACATAAATGTGTTGTCACAATGGTATTTATATTTAGCTTGATATAAAACAGAAAAAGTCATTTTAGTTCAAAGCTACCGTTTCTATCAAGATATTTTTGTGGAAAATAAAATTGAGAATCTATACTATACTGAAACATTTTACAAAAAAAAAAAAGGCTTTTACCCTCCTGTAGTATTCAGCTAGAATGAACACAAAGACTTACCAATTTTCCTAAACAGATGAATATTTTGACTTTTGAAGAGTATTTTAGTAAAAATCAAAATTCTGACACACTGATTTTTTTAAATCACTGATTTCTTAATCAAAAGCTATTACGGCAAGGAAGCCTGTAGAAGACATTCACACAGAGCAAAAACTGTGGCTGTAGCCAGCAACTCAAAATTCCATGACACAGGAAGCATTATATAGTATGATATAGGAAGAATGTAATCATTATAGATCCTTTCCCAAATACCTGCATTCCCAGGCCCTCCATACCCAGTCTTTAATCTTACATAGTTTTCTAAAGCCATGTTCCCTGAGGCAACCTCCTATAGTTCTGTACCTAATGATTTCTTAGCTCATTAATGTTCTGTGAACATATATGTATCCTATTATTGCACCTTTCTCTCCTCATCTCCAATCTGAGATCTTCTTACACTTTATTGAAAAAGCCCAAACTAATCAAAGCTATGCAATATAGACTCCCTTCTCCTCACTGTACACAGCCCCTTGATATAATCTCCTACAATTTCCTCCTTGATGAAGAGATTCCCCTTCTCTCAGCAAGGCCAACCCCTCTCAATCAAAAGATTACCCCCTAGCAGAGTACCCCCAATATTATCCTTACCTTTAAGTCCTTCACTTTCTCCTCCTTTTTGAAAAGTTCCTTCTCTCCTGCCTACAAACATATGCAAGTCTCCCCTATGCTGGGCAGAAACTCCCAATCAAAAGGGCCTCATTTCTAAAATACATAGAGAATTAAGTCAAATTTATAAGAATACAAGTCATTCCCCAATTGATAAATGGTCAAAGGATATGAACAGGCAGTTCTCAGATGAAGAAATTAAAGCCATCTACAGTCATATGAAAAAATGCTCTAAATCACTACTGATTAGAGAAATGCAAATCAGAACAACTCTGAGGTATACCACATCACAGCAATCAGATTGACCAAGATGACAAAACAAGAAAATGGTAAATGTTGGAGAAGATGTGGGAAAATTGGAACACTGATGCATTGTTGGTGGAGTTGCGAAATGATCCAGACTTTTTGGAGAGCAATTTGGAACTATGCCCAAATGGCTATAAAAATATGCATACCCTTTGACCCAGCAATAGCACTTCTAGGGCTGTATCCCAAAGAGATCATACAAATGGGAAAAGGACCCACATGTACAAAAATATTTATAGCAGCTCTTTTTGTGGTGGCAAAGAATTGATAATTAAGGGGATGCCCATCAATTGGGGAATGGCTGAACAAGCTGTGGTATATGAATGTAATGCAATACTATTGTGTTATAAGAAATGATAAGCAGGCAGACCAGAAAAACCTGGAAAGATGTACATGTGAAGTGATGCTGAGTGGAGTGAGCAGAACCAGAAGAACACTGTACACAGTAACAGCCACATTGTGTGACAACTAATATTGATAAACTTAACCCTTCCCAGCAACACAAGGATCAAAGATATCTCCAAAGGTCTCATGATGGAAAATGCTATCTACATTCAAAGAAAGAACTATGGAGTTTGAATGCAGATTGAAGCAAATTATTTGCTATTTTTTTTTCCTTCTGTTGAGTTTTGTTTCCTCTTTCTGGTGGTTCCTCTTATTGGTTCTAATTCTTACTTACAACATCACTAATATGAAAATAGTTTAATAGGAATGTATATGTAAAGCCTATATCAGCTTGCATGGTGTCTTAGGGAGGGTGGTGGGGAGGAAGGGGGAGAAAAACTCTAAACTCAAAAGCATATGAAAGTGACTGCTGATAAATCAAAATAAATTAATAAAAATAAATACTAAAAAAAAAAGAAAGAAAAGAAAAAGAAACTCCCAATCAATCCTACCATTCCAGGTTAACTATCATGCTGTATTTCTCCTCCCTTCTCTGTCAAAATCCTGGAAAAAGCCCATTATATTCTGCCTCCATCTTCTTTCCTCTAACTTTCGTCTTGACTGACTGCAAAATGGATTCCAACCTTGCCCAACTGCAGTTGCTCTCTCCAAAGTGACCAAAGATGTATTGGAATCTAATGGCCTCATTTCAATCCTCATCCTTCTTGACCTCTCAGCAGCATTTGATGGTCAACCACTTTCTCCTGAATGCTTTTCCCCTCTGTTTTTGTGACATTGTTCCTTCCTGGTCTTCCTCCCATCTGACTGTTCCTTTTTAATCAGGTCAGTCAGTCAACACAGTGGTAAGTGCTGTGGTTACAAAAAATAACAAAAAACACTGTACCTGCTCTCAAGGAACTCACAGTCTATTGGGGGAAAACAACATGAAAGCAATTATGTACAACAACCCCCCCCCCACACACACACAGAAAATAATACAGAAATAATCAAGAAAGAGAAACCACCAGCATTAAGAGGAATCAAAAGATGATTGTTGTAGAAGATGGAACTTGAGCTGGAACTTCAGGGAAGCCAGGAGGCAGATATGAGGAGGGGGAGAATTCCAGTATGACACAGCCAGTGAAAACGCCCAGAGTTGGGAGATGGAGTAACTTGTGGGAAGAACAGGAAGAAGGCCTGGATCAGGGTATGGCCAGGCTATGAAGGGCTTTAAAGGCCAAGTAGAAGAATTTTATATTTGACCCTGGAGGTAATAGGGAGCCACTTGAATTTGCTGAAGGAGGGTGGTGGTGGTAGGTGGTGTTGACAATGTCAGACTTGTGCTTTTGGAAGGTTATTTTGACAGCTAGGTGGAAGGATGTGGACTGGAGTGGGGAGGCCTGTGGCAAGGAGGCCAAATAACAGGCTACTGCAATAGTACAAAGCATGAGGTGATAGGGGCCTGCATCAGGATGATGGCAAAGTCAGGAAAGAAAGGGGAATATACAAGAGATGTTATGAAGGTATAATTGGACTGGCTTTGGCAACAGACTGGATATGCAGAGAGATCTAGGATGACACCTAAGTTGTCAGTTTAGGTGACTGGCAGTGGTACCCTTCATACTAATAAGGAAGTTCAAGAAAGAAGGGTTTGGAGAGAAATGTAAGGAATTTAGTTGAATTAATATATTTTTGGGACATCTAGTTCAAGATGTGTAACAGTCAGTAAATTAGCATTTATCAAGTGCCTACTATGTGCCATTACAGTGATAAGAGTGATTTGGGTACAAAAAAGGGCAGAAGACAGTCCCTGCTCTCAAGGGGTTCACAGTGTACTGGGGAAGACAATATGAAAACAACTATGTAAAAAACAAGATATACATAGAGTAAATTGGAGACATGTGACTGTAGGTCAGTAGACAGCTGGACAAGTAGATATGAGAATCAACAGAGATGATAATTAAATCCATGGGAGCAAATGAGATCACCAAATAAAACAGTATAGAGAAAGAAGAGAGAACCAGACAGAGTCCCAAGTTATCAGATGAGGTCTGGATGAAGAAGACTGAGGAGCTAGGTAGGAGAACTAGGATAGTGTTAAAAACCTAGAGAAAAGTATCAAGAAGAAGATGATCAACAGTGTCAGAGGTCAAGAAAGATGAGGATTGAGATGAAGCCATTAGATTTTGGAAGGACCAGTTTCAATTGAATGAGGTCAGAAGTCAAAACCACAGGGTTAAGAGAATGAGAAAAAAGGAAAGGAGATACACTTATTGTAGACAGTCTTCTCTAGGAGTTTGGCTGTAAAAAGGAAGAAGAGACAGGATATAATCACAGGTGGCGATGGATAAATCTAGTGAGGATTTTTTTGTGGATGGGAGAGATACAGGCATATTTTGCAGGCAGTAGGGAAGCAGCCAAGGGATAGCAGAAAGTGGAACGGATGAAAAGGAGAGGGGGAGAACAGGAGAGAGAAATAGCAAGGGGAGAGAGAGACAGAAAGAGAGAAGGAGGGAAAGGAGAGAGATTAAAAATATAGTTAAGAGAGGAGTCAATCTATTAAGAAGGAATGGGATAACTTGTGCATGTAGTAGAGGGGTTTGCCTTGGCAAGGAAAAGGGTTGCCTTTTATGTAAGATGGGGTGGGAGGGGAAGGTGACAAAAGGCAAGTGAGTTACTTGAAATGAAGAGGAAGTTTTTGAAAAAGAGGGACCTCTTGGCAAATGGTCTTTTTTCAGAATCAATATCCTTTGCTGATTCATCATTGCTATGCACCAGAAAGTTCCATTCTGAGACTTTTTCTCAATTTTGGTCACTTGATCTTTCATTAGAGCTGGATAAGTTATTATATCTCTCTCTCTCCCCCTCCCTCCCTCCCTCCCTCCCCAGTATATCTCCTTACTCTAGTCCTACACTGCCAGCTGCCTAATGGCCATTTTCAACTGAATATTCTTTAGACATTTCCAACTCCATACGTCTAAAACAGAACTCATCTTTTCCCCTAAAACCACTCCTCTTCCAAACTTCCAAAATATTGAACAAGGCAACAATATCCTTCCAATTACCAAGGCAGCAAGTACATACAGGCATACCTTGGCATTTAAATACCTTCACAACCTGGCTCCCTTCTACCTCTCCAGACTTATTATACTTTACCTACGCAAACTCAAACTCTCTATTCCAATACACGCTAGCCAACTTACTGTTTGGTACACAAGACACCCAATCTCCTGTCTGTGGCTCTGTACTGGCTGCACCCCATGCCTGAATGCACTCTCTCTGAAACTTGACCTCTTGCCAACTCCTGGTTTCCTTCAAGCCTCAGTTCAAGTACCATTATCTATATGAAGTATTTCCTAGTTTCCATTTGCTTGTACACCCTCCACCGCACCCCACCTCCCAACTATGTTTGTTCTGCAGATTCAGTGTAAACTTCTGTGTGAACATGTCTTCCCTATTAAAAAGTAACTTTCTTCAGAAAAAAGGACAATTTTATTTTTGTCTTTATATTTTTCCCCATGCCTTTTAATTCATCCTGACAAATCTCTCCCAGGTAGCTTTGACACTTTAATGGAGTTATTCATCCACTGATGTGCAACTTTTTATTGGTAAAATGTTTCCAGCTATTTATACTGGAGAAGGCCAGCACAATTTTGATTGTTTGATTGTTTGACTATTCGAAGATCAGAGCAACATACATCCAGAAGAATGGACAACAGAACTCTCTTCTTTGTCATATACACCATTTCCAACTTTGTAGTCATGCATAACTCATTAAAAACATTTATTTCCAAGTTGCCTGTTACAGGATTACTAACTCACTCGTTGGAAAAAAATATATATTTGAATAATGATTGCTGTTCAGTCCTAGATGACCGCATTTGGGGTTTTCTTGGCTAAAATACTGGCGTGGTTTGCCATTTTCTTCTCCAGCTCATTTTAAAGATGAGGAAACTGAGGCAAACAGGGTCTCCCAGATAGTAAGTGCCTGAGGCCACATTTGAACTCAGGAAGATTAAGTCTTTCTGACTTCAGGTTCCCATTCTACCCACTGCCCCACCTTAGCGGCTCTGTAGAGATTACCCCTAATTTATGTGGGTTAAAATGAATATATGACATAGATATTTCCAATTACTCAAGTGAATATTGTATTGTTTGTAACAACAGAAAGATGCCTGGATCTGGAACTGATATTCACGTTCCAGTCCTGCATAATAAACTCTGAACCTCAGTTTCTTCATCTGTAAAATAATAATACCTGTACTAAATACCTTACAACAATGTTGTGGTGATCAAATCAAATAACGAATGGAGAGCATTTTGTACTTTAAAAGTTACTAATGCATAATATATGCATTATTAACACTCCTAGAAATAGCCTAGTCTAACTGCTCACTTTTACAGATGAGAAAAATTGAAGCCTGGGAGGTTCACTTACCCAAGATCACACAATTAATTAGTGGCAGAACAGGACCTAGAAACTAGGTCTCTTGATTATGATTGTTCTTTGCACTACAAAGCTGAAAGGGACAATTATGTCTCTTGGGGTTAACCCTTTACCAGACGGGCTGAACTATACACATATTTACATAATCCACTAGAAGCCCAGGGGCTGTTCCTCTCCTAGGTACTGAAAAAGTTTTAAACTGTGGGCAGCCTAACAAATTCAAGTTTTTATTATGATTTAAACATACTTTAAATTCAGAAGTAAAATTGAAAGTCTATTTCTTTATTCTCAGTGTATCTTTATGATGCTGAAAAACAAACTCTCACCGAGATAAGGCACCGCTAGTAATGGTGGATCCCAACTTTTGAATCTTGAACAACTGCGTTCAGCTTTTTGTTCAAGTTTTCCTACGTCTGGACATGACTGAACACAGCCATCAAAGTAAATTTTCCATAGAAGAACAAAACTGCTGGGTCCAAGGTCACTTCCTTGTCTCCTTTACTTTCCAAACATCCAACCTGACACCCGCAGCCTTTCACTTGCCGAAATCCTTTACCACATGCCCAGCGCGGAATTAACTTTCTAGAATCGCAACCACGACAGGGTTTAGGCCCACCGACCCAACCCGATCCGGATGAAAGCCCCCTTGACCGAGCTGAGCTGCAACACTGCCCAGTACGAGGCCATAAAAGCAGCCAAGGGGGATGATTCGCAATTTTCACTAAACCAGCAGTTATCAGGGGCCGCTTTGAGCGCACCGGACCTGGCGCCACCCGCCTGCGGTCCGGGTTCTCTCCTGCCCGGGCCCCCCGAGGCCACGAGGAACTTTCCTCGGGGCCGCGCCACCGCAGACCGGAAGAGGGGGAAGGGGCTTTGCAAGAGCGGGCAGACAGAGGGGGCTGCCGGGGCTCCCGAGGATGCTCGGGCGCTGAGAGGACCGCAAGGGGGGGAAGGCTCCAGGGCACAGGGCCTTACCTCCTCCAGGGCTGCCGCCATGGCTTGCCGCCACCTCCAGGAGTAACGCGGGCTGCGACCACGCAGAGGAGAGGCCCCGGGATCCCACACGGCAAGTACCGGGCTCAGAGCGCAGAGCCGACCGCCACGAGCCGCTGCCCCCAAGCGCCGCCTGCGCACAGATCGGAAGTTCCCGGGCCGTCCTCTAGGCCGCCTGCGCGAGGAACGGCCCGCCGCGAGCCGCTCTTTAGGCCGCCTGCGCGAGGACAGACCGAACGGGACTCGGCCGGCCTCCAGAGCCCCTCCCCCTCTTCATTGCCCCGCCCTTCCTCTAGCGCGAGGTGCCTCTGGAACCTTCGCGAGCCACACACGTGTAGCCTCTGCCAAGCCCCGGGCCCCGCCAAGCCCTAAGCCCCGCCCAGTCTAGCGCACGCGCTCTGCCTGCGGAAGCCAGCGTCGCGCGGCGGGTCTGACAGGCAGTTGGAGGAAAAGAACACGTCGCTTGCAACCCCTGCCTCCTCTGCCCGTCATTCCCGCGCAGCCGCAGCCCACCAACGACCGGAAAGATTTCCCGAACGTGGGGATCAGTGGGCGAGGCCGTGGTTTTGCTTCCTCTAAGGACGCTGGGCCGCCTGTGGACGCCGCCATCTTACTCAAGGCAAAATCTTGAAAAGCTTTAGAGGTCCAGAGCAGACCCACCCACGGGGGGGGGAGGGGGGAAGCGGCCGGTTTAAAGTGGCGGGCTACGTGGATCATTTTTGTCCGAGCCCACGTTGCGTCACCCCCGCGGTGACGTCACAACCAGTTTGGGAGGCTGGGAGGGGCCTTGGCCGTAGCCGGGCCGGGGCTCCTAGGGGTTGGGGGGGGCCTTCCTGCTCCACCTGCACGCCCCAGCAGTCTCGGCACCCTCCCCGGCCCCCACCTAGAGACAGCTCAGGATGCAAAGGCCAGAAACACCTCGCCAGCCTGGTCCTGGAAAGTATCTGTCATATTATATGTATACACATACTCGGCCCGTCTTTGTCGGACCCCACAGTCCAGTAGAGACTGAAAGCAAGAAGCCTTTATTAAGCACCTGCTGTTTGTGCCTTGCTCTCCTCTCGGGGGTTGGGGATATAGATACGAAAGCGAGACCAGCCCCTTGCCATCACTTCAAGTCAACGATATTAGGGGCTTCCTAACCATGTGCCAGCCATTGTGCTAGTCTATGGGGATGCAAAGAAAGGCTCAAACAGACCCTGCTCTCAAACAGCTCACCATCCAATGGAGACAACAAGCTATCTGTGTGCAGATGAGGTACGCTGCTGAGCACAGTAAACTGCAGGTACTCTTAGAGGGGAGGCACTAGCTTTGCAAAAAGTACCTGGCACGTGGTATGCGTTTAATAAATGCTTGTCCCTTTTCACTTCCCCCTCTTTCCTTGAGCATTGCAACAGCCTCCTAATTGGATTGGCTTCTAGTCATCTTCTGTCCAATCCATCTTCCCTTCAACTGGCAAAATAATACTTCTAAAGTATGATTGTTTCCATGTCACTCCTGGCCTGTTGCCTTTAGGATTAAATACAAAGGCCTCATCCTTTACTTCCTTTTGAACACATTACATTTCACTGAAAATAAACTGCTTGCTATACAACCCCAAGTCAAAATTCCATCTTTCACCTCCACGTTTTGGCTCAGCTGTTCCCTATGCCTAGAATGCATTCCTTCTGTCGTCTACTTTCTTAGAATCCCTAGCTTCCTTCAAGGTTTAGCCCAGCTGCCCTCTCCTATGGAAACCCTAGGTGTTAGTCCTAAGTCCTTCAAATCATCATGTAAAAACACATTTGTGTTTACATGTTATATCGCCTGATAAGCTCTTTGAAGGCATGGAATGTTTATTTTACTTCATCCTTATATCTCTAGAACCTACCACAGTGTTTTTACCATTGGGAGTTGGGGGTGAGAAGGGAGGAAAGAGGTAGGTCCAGACCTACTATTTCATTGGTGTTGGTAATTAATGTAGAAACTCCCTCTGCCTATGCAGGGCCACAATTCCCCTGTTACTTATAGTGTCAAAAGGGTTGTTTGAGACTATGGAAAGGTTTGGTAACTGGTCTAGGGTCACATGACCAGCATGGTTTGAATTCAAGGCTGTGTAGTCTATGATGCCTCTCACCTTGCACTTACCACGGGCTTAACAAATGCATGTTGGATTGCCTCATAGAATCTCTAGCTTTCTTTTACCTTTTTTCTAGTTTGGCTAGAACGGGCCACCTTCTACAGAAAGCCCATCCTGGTCCCTCTAATTGCCAGAAAGTACTTTATATATGAGGGTCATCTCCAGTCATCCTGGTCTGTATCTCTCCACTGGACCCAGATGGCTCTGGAGGAGAAACTGAGGCTGGTGACTTTGCACAGACCTTCCTTGCTTAAATCCAATTCACTTGCATATTATGATATCACCTCCCTGATGTCATGGTCCTCTTAGAGAACAAGGGGCAAACAACTTTATATGTATTTTGTCTTTAATTTTCTCTATACATGTTAAATCTCCTTAATAGAATGTAAGGTCCCTGAGGATAAGACTTTCATTTTTGTCTTTGTATAACCAATACTTAGCACAGTGCAAATAATAAGCACTTAATAATGACTTGGGTTGGAGAGGCTATAAAGGTTGAATCAACAAGCCTTAGTAATTTGTAGCATATCAGAGGTGATAGAAAGAAGAGTCAGCATTATCCCTAAGGTTTTAAATATGGGAAGTCCAGTGAATAGTGTTGTCATAGACATCTAGATTTCCCCCTGTATCCTTTTATCTCAACCCCAGAAGCATCCCTTATGAAAAATACTTTTAATTAATTAAACAAATTAAAAAAGAGGAAGAAATCATTCAGTAAAACCAAGTAATACACAAAAAAATCTGACATACTAATGTTTCGCAGCATTGGGTGTCCCTACCTGTAAATCAGTTGTAAAGTACTTGGAACATATTAGGTGCTTAATAAATGTTTGTTTCCTTCCCCCTTTTAGGCCTTTATCATCTCTTGCCATTAATTTTCCCCATTATCCTCATTCCAGTAGTGGGAGGTGTTTTCTCCTATCTCAGTTTTGTGGCCAAGCTTGTTTATAATTTTGCAACATTTTTTTGTGGTTGTTTTTTCCATTTACGTTGTTGTAATTGTGTATGATCTTCTCCTGGCCTTGCTTACTTCATTTTCTTACAGCACAATAATCATTAATTATATTCATGGCCCACAGTTTGCTTTGCCATTCCTCAAGATGCCTCAGTGGGCATCTACTTTGCTTCTAGTTCTTTGCTGCCAAAAAAAAGTGCTACTATAAGCATTTTGGTATTAATGAAGCCTTGATGATGTCATTTTTCTGCTCAAAAACCTTTAGGGGCTCCCTCAGCCTGATATTCAAGCCTCTTAAACTCCAATCTACTTGGTCCAGACATTTCAAATTATTTCCCATCCCTGGGATTCAAAGGGCTTTGCAGAATAATTAGATGTAATTAGTCAGTGCTGGAGGAAGGAATGGGGCTGTCAATCAAACCAAGCATAATTCCTACTAAGTACCAGGCACTGAGGATACAAAGACAGACTAGAAACAGTTCCTCCCCTCAAGGAACTTGCTTGCATTCTAATAAGACAACATGCACATATACTGGTATATACAAGATACATATCACGTAGATGCAAGGTAACCCAGAAGGAGAAAGAATTGGGTTTTTATTGGGGGGAGGGTGGAGTGAGGGAGTGGACTAAAATAGATCCTGCAGTCATTAACATTTATTAAGCACTTACTGTGTTCCAAGGACTATGTTAAGCTCTGATACCAAGAAAGGCCAAAAACAAGTCCCTGCCCTCAAGGAGCATATATTCTAACAATGGAGACAGCCAGTCACTAAGTAAGCTCTTAGAATATCTATGCAGAGTAGATGAGGGTAATGTGGAAGGTGTGGCCAGCTAGGGGCACCAGGAAAGTTCTCCAGTAGGATGGGGGATTTGAACTGGGTACTGAAGTAAGCCAGGGACTCCATGAGGTGGCAGTGAGGGCACAGAGCATGCAAAGGCCAAGAGAGGGGATATGGGTCAGGGTAGCTAAGTTGTGTTGTGTGTGGAAGGGAGTGAGAGTTGGCGAGGTGGGAAGGGGCCAGGGATGAGCCTAAAGTGCAAAACTTGGGTGTGTATGTTTGATCCTGAAGGTAAAGATGACTGAGCTTAGTGAGCAGGACCCTGGCATGGTCATACTCCCAGGGCAGCCAGGTGGTGAGTGCAGAGTGCTGCACTGAGGAAGAGCTGAGGGCAGATTTGGCTTCTGACCAAGCCGTGTGGCCCTGGGCCTGGAGTGGGGATGAGGCAGGGAAGCCAACGAGGAGACTGTTATAATGATCTAAGCAAATCGTTGCTGTGTGAATGAAGAGAACGTTCTAGATGTGAGACATGTGAAGGTAGAAACAGCAGTTTGGCAACTGATCTGACATACAATGAAGGTGAGGGTAAGTTTAGGGTAATGCAGAGGTTACAAATGCAGGAGCCTAGAAGGCCAGTGGTGCCTTTGGACAGAAAAAGTGAACGTTGGAAGAGGGGAGGGTTTGGGGAAAAAATTTAGTAAACTAGTTATAGTTTACTTTGGGGCATATTGAGTTTTCATGCTTTCAGGAAACCTGGCTTGAAATGTCCGATAGGCGATAGGCAGCTGGTGATGGGAGCTTGAAGCTCTGAGGGAGGACAGCCTTGAGCTGGGTATCTGCAGAGAGACGAGAGCTAGGCCCTCCCACCCCAGGGAAATGAGAGGGCCAGAGACATGCTGCATAGACACTGCACAGAGGCAGCACTCGGCTCCCCCACAAGGAAAATATCAGCAAAACAGGCCCAGACCCCAGGACCAAGGCCAATTGTGGCCTTGCAGGGCCCAGCCTGGCTTAGGGTCCAAGGGAGTGAGAAGCACCGACAACGAACAGAAACAGGCTCCTGATGGCCATTTCTTTTGTATTTCTTTTTATTTTACAAGGGATCAATCATTCACACAATGAAACCAAGATACCCTCCAAACAAGTTCTTAACAATTAGAAAAGTAAACATTTGTTGAGACAATGTACAATAAATCGCACTTTTCATAGCAAGCATTTACATTGATAATTGTACCATACATAATACATGGATTTATGGAAAATGTCTAATTGTCAGTGGTCTGTGGTTTGGGCAATGTGGTCTGCAAGTTTCTTCTTGTAGCCTTCACTGTATTTGCGACCTAGATGGGGGTGGGGAGAGATGTAAATCAATTATCTGTTTTGGAACTTGTATGGATGAATCATAAGAACAGTACAGGAAAACAGTTAGCACAAAGGTGATTTTCTTTTACCTCCTGGTCAGTACAAAGACAGGGATCAGAAAAAGAGGGAGCTGGGTGGGTAGAGAATGAAATTTTTTTTTTCTCATTTGAAATACAAGATCCATGAATTATGTAAAATACTAAAAATAGAGAAACTGGTGCAAAATGCTATTAAGATATCTTGGATTCTGGGACCACCTCCAGCATCACTTCTGTGCTTTGATGACACTAGAGTCCTTTGATGTATTTATATTATTGTAATTCACTTTCATATATATTAGTCTGTGACTAATATATAGTTTTCTCCAAATTACATACATACTGAAACCTTTACACATTAAGTAATTCCAACTGAAAAAAGGAAATTTCTGAAAATTTTTCCTACTCAACATTTTTAGATAAAAACATTCCCAATAAAACCTTCAAGAAAACCTGTAGTATAAACTAAGGAAAATATGGACATGTTATTAATAGTTCTGTTTTACTGACATAGTCCCCTGGCCACATGCTGTATCTGAGGTAATTTACTCACTCTCAAGCTGGGAAAGGAGAGCCCTAGCAGCCATCTGTTATCTATGAAATGACTCTATAAATGCCTCATTTTCAAATCCTAACTCCAGATCTTTTCATGCGCAGTACTTTCTATATAGTTAATTTCCCAGTTTCAGTGGCTTTTGTAGGGTTGGGGAAATTCCATAGACAGTGCAGTATTATACAGCCATCTATGTGAAGGAAATGCAGGCCAAAAGAGACGTGCACTTTGCAACTAGAGAAAGAAAGAAGAATTAACAGTTATGGGGAAAATATGATTGGGCACAATGTTGTTTTCTGATTTGCTGTCTTGGATTCTCACATGTCTTGGTATGTGGGGACATCTAAATACATGTGTGGACACATACTACATGGCCATAACTGATAAGCAAACAGATACACATATGTAATTTAACTGTTCAGGAAGTCTACCTAATCTTCAAATTACTTAAGTTTGCTTATTCTTTTGTCTATGTGGAAATGAAACAAGAGAAGCAGGTTATTTGGGATCTTATTTAAGCTTATTAAATCAACAACTTTCTTGATCATTCATCAAAGGGACTGTTTTCTAGAGAGAAAAAAACAAGATGCTGAAACAAAAATTTACTGAGGTGCTAGAATCACATAATTGATTTACATGGGTGTTTGAGGAACACAGTTGATCAATCAGTACTTAGCTTTCACCTAGTAACCTAAGAGAATGGGCTTTTGCAACAAAGTGTCTCTCACAAAGTTACATTTGTAAAGCTTATTCTAAGTGACTGACCATCTCTTCTAATATTCGAAGACACTTTATATGGCTTTTAGGACTCTCAGTGCCAAAAGTTGGGTGATTCTTGTTTTCCATATTTTTTCTCATACTAAGAAATTAAGCCATCAGGTTATTACTTGTTAATAGAGTGCTTTAAACAGATAAAGTAGGAGAGGAAGAGAAGTAGAAACCACTATGTAAGGAGACATTCAAAAAGTTGGGGAAACATAATAAGAGAAGGTAAAACACTGTTAAATGTTAGTGACTTCAGCAAAAAGATTATCTTGGTAAGAAAAATTAATCCAAACCAATGGAAAAGAACTTGCTGATTTAATAGGTAGGAAAGATAGATGTGTAGGCTGCCTTGCAAGATAGAGTATACACTGAACTGGTACACCTACCAATGTTTCTGCTAAGCACTTGTAGAGGGTTAAGATCTTCTCTAAATGAAAAGTGTCTAGCTAAATATAACTACTTATGAGATGGTTCAGGATGTGGGAAGCTATCAAACACATGCACTACTAAATTCAGCTTTGTTTTCTTTGACCTTTAAAGAAAATAAGAAACTTTAAAGAAATAAAACCTCAAGATATGTATATAAACTAATTTAATAAATAGCACTTAATTTAGTATGTAAAGAGGTGGGATTCAGAATTTGTCTCAAAAAACTAATCATTTTTCAAAATGTTGTAAACATTGGATTTTGGAAGGGATTTGTTCTGCACTGCGCATTTTAGGAAAAGACTACAATTGAATTAAGATTAAGCAACCATGTCAGAAAAACACTCTATTGTGCGTAAGAATTTTCAGGTTGCTTGGTTGTTTTTTGCTTGGTTCCTGAAAAGAATCTAGAGTGAAGAGGGGGCAGTTTACACGATCCTCTAAAATTAACTGAAGTCAATCAGTTAAACTACAAGGACTTAGGATCTCCTAGATTCCAGGCACTGTGCTAGGTGCTGGACATACAAAGACAAAAATGAAGCAGTCCCTGCCCTACTGGGATGCTGACATTTTCAAAGCTTCATTTGTCTCTTGGTCATACAGTTGGAGAGAGTGATATTCCCACATATTAAATGAAAATTACACTATACGTATCAAACTTTGGTCCTTTCATCTTCATCTTTCCTGTTGCTGGTGGCACATAGATACTTCAGCATGGGACAGACTAAGCTTCTGGCAATGGCAGGTCATGCCACACATCACTGTTGGCACTAGACGGGAGAGGAAGCAACTCGGCACTATTGATGTAAGTCACTGAAAGCACTAAACAGAATTCTGAAATGTCAACTTTCCTTTCAAAACAAAACACTGGTTTCTAAAACTGTATAACATGTAGATATGTTTTTTCTCCATCCAATATACATTGAGTTGCATCAATTTCATTTAAAATTAAAGTGCTATTCTTGTCAGAAAAAAATGACAAAAATGATGTAGAATTTTAATATTCACTCACTTCTACATAAACTCTGTTAAAGTAATCAAAATATAACTTCTAATATTAAGTTCTATACACTTCATCTTGGGATCCAAAAATTCAACTGAACCTCAAGATTAGCCAGCTGAGTCCAAATATCAGTTTAGATGTAAGGACCTGATTTTTTTTTTGGGGGGGGAGCAATGGGGAATGAGGAGTCTGTGTTACATAACCATTCTGGAGGCATCTACAAGACTCCTGTCCAAGTATGAGTGGGCAGCATGCAGCAACTTTAATTTTTCTTCTTAACTAAGGATAATCTTGCAGTGTAAGCCTAATTCTGCTGGTTCTGAGAAGGGGAAGGCAATAGGGTAGCTCCATGGGATCAGGCTCCAGAAGAAAGGAGCATCTTCTACTTAATTGGCAATTTTATTCAGGAGGCTGAATCAAAGTGATGGGGTTTATGGGACTCAAGGCAGAAATGCCAAATAAATTCAACAGATGTTACTAGATAACTAATAAAGGACAATGTATCACGCTGTAAGGTGCCATTTTATGCAGATGGCATTTTCTAGCCATTATTATATACTTTGGAGAAGAGTACACACTTCAAAAACCAAACTGCAGGTAACACCCAAATCAAGGTTGATGCACTAATGAACTAGGTAGTACGACCATCACCTTACAAGGTAACACACTCAAAGCTTGTAAGTTCAGTTTACCAGAAAGGTTCATATTTCTCAAAATGTAGTTGGCCACTAGCAAGTGAAGCAACAGTGGCTGAAATAGTTTTCACAATTTTGAAAGTGTTACACAGTTTTCCTTTTTTGACAAATGTTTTCATGAAAAATGTCAGGCAAAACCATCCTTATTTGAAGGAGCCCTACTTGAGTAGCATCTGAAGAATTACATTTAGGTAAACTGTGTTTTTGTGAGCTTCTTCATAAATGGTCACTGTTGAGGGATACGTAATTTTTTAAGATTAAACCTTCCTTTCGGGGAAAGTGGGCAAGACATTTATTTCCTATGACTGAATTTTAGTAGATGCTTTAGGAGTGAAACTATAATTTGATTACTGGTTAATCTTCTGAAAGTAAAACATGGCACAGATAAAGAGTCCCACTGGCACTACAGCTTCAGATCTTTTGCAAAAAAGATGCCTGACAATGAAGCCAATGACTAATATTATTTAACTTTATTGTACAGACCTGATGGAAGAATTAATTTGGGTTAAGAGCATATGGGTCCAGAGGATGCCCCTACTCTTGAACAGATAAGAAAATGGAAAACTTAATACACAACTAACCTCTTTGGCCCTGTTTGGGAGACTTCCTGGCAAGGCCTTTTTATACAGACATGTTAAATATAATTTAAGAAACATTTCCACCAAATTTTAAACAATAGTTTCACCTTTCAATGAAATAAGTATTTCTATAAACATTTTATATTCCATCAGAAAATGTCACAAACCTTTGCACCTCTCCATCTCTGGGATAAAAAGGGCACATTTTTAGACAGTTACAGAAATCAGGAAGAGTTACACAGCATAAGACTAAAAGGTTTCAAAGTTGGCCTTTACTTCCCATTTCCATATCTTAAACACAAAGCTGTTACAGCAAATTAGTGTTTCCCAGCAAGTGCTCATCAAAATTAAATGGAATATGAATTCACTGGTCCTATCCTCCTACTTACTTTTCATTCAGAAGTTCTGATTTCCTATTAAGCCCAACAGTTGTGCCTGGGTATTCCTAGGTGCTCTGGTGAAAATTTTCTAAGGCTACTGCTTACCAAATCCCCTTTGTATTACACATTCACAAGACTGTCTGTTCCACCTGAGGCCATGCACACAGGCAGACTCTTGAGATTCATGGATGGAGTTCTTAAAAGAACTGAGGCCATGGTGATAGAGGCTTTATTTGAATTTGCTGAAATCCCCGTTCCCTGGATCTAGTGTGCATGCCAGAAGACAAAGGATAAGAGAGCCTCAGGAACATCGAACATCTAAGTAAGGAGCTCATTTCCAAATGAACCCAGCAGAAATTTTTTTTTTTAAGTGAGTCTTTTTCAGGAGATTGGTCTGTGGTCATTTCTCTTTCAAAAGCAAAGCGCTTCTCTGTAGGATGTTACCATCCCTTTTGTAAACTACTGGGATCACGTCTAGGATAAGACCTAGACAGTGGTCATGGCCTGCCCCTACAATGTGCTTTATTTTAAGTTTAAGTCCTGAAAATGATCAAGGCTTAAATGTTAATCTCTTCTTTGCCCTGACTGATACCCCATCTCCCACCATATCAACCCTGAAATAGCAAAAAAAAAATCTACTGTTTTTATACAAGATACAAAATAATTAGGAATAATTAGTTCTAAATAAAACATTTAGCTCTGAATTATTTATTTCCAACTTAACATCTAGATATAATAAAATAAGGTGTAAAAAGGTTGATGGTGGTTTTCAGTGAGGAAGGTGGAAAATAGATATTCAACATAAAACAGGACTCTAAATAACTTTCCTTTGAAAAGCATCACACCACATGAATGAGAGATGCTGAAGGATTTCGGTTTCAGGCTTGCTCCCTGGCCTTCCTTACTTCCCCTCAAAGGGACACTGGGACAATCTGCCAGGGCTTCGGTTGCTTGAATCGTCATGTTCTTGTGCGTGGAATTTGGCAGGAACTACGTGCTCTCTTTGGGTGGCTGGGATGGCTGAGGCTGCTGGGGTGGCTGTGTGCCTGTGGCTGTTTTGATAGAGTTCAGGGTTTTGCTAAACCAAGAGTTTTTTGCAGCTTGAATTTCATTCATGAGGGCTCCTCTCTGATGTTCAAGCTCCTAAGGAAAGGAAGAAAGACAATCATTTGAGGTTGGGGGCCTTTTTCTCTCTATTTGAAACCCTTCATTATAGCTGTTCAGCTATTTCTAGACCACTGAGGATAGCTTTCATACCAGCAATAAATTCTACTGACTAGAGATGAAGGCAATGAGGGCAGACAACCCTTCAAGAAATTGGGCAGTGAAAGGAAGGAGGAAAAATAGAGCAGCCGCTTCCTAGGTTTAAATGGCCTGCAGTCTGGTCTGGGGAAAAAAGTGCCAGTCTGGGAGTGAGCTCTGATTTGGACGACTACCTGGCTGGCCAACTGGCCTTCAATATCCTCAGCTGGAAAAGAAGGATATTGAGTCAGACTATCTTCAAGGTTCTTTCCTGCTCTAATATCCTAAGACAATCATCTCCCTGTTCTAGGAAAAGGTAGTAGAGCTAAAGAGTGTACTTTTTTCTTCTGAGAGGTGAAACAGAAGAGTTTTCTCTTCAGAATTATAGTATTAATTTAAGTTTGGGTTGAACTCTTTGATATAATGTTAGGTTGACATTTAATAGTTACAATATATTTCATTATGGTGATGGATTGATGAAGTCCTGACTCACCAGGCTATGCTAGGTGCTGTGCAAAATTAAAAAAAAAAAGATATGTTTTTTTCCTTGGGCACTTAAAAGGTGTCTCATCTCCAGAGCAGAGGAACATGTAATGACAATGGGTGTTTCGCTGTTTTGAGGCACTGCTGCAATACACAACCATTGCTAAGGAGATGGAGAGATCCGGGCACCGACATGCTGAAGCTTTGCCTGCCGTGGTTGTGAGGGCTGCACACACACTTGCCAGTGATTAAGGCAGCAGCAGCCTTAGAGAGACAGAAAGGTTGAAGTGCAAGTCATGACAGCAGAGAGGAAACAGAATGTCATCCAGGGTGCTTTGGGCAGTGAAGGGGCTCAATGAATGGTTGTGGAAGTGAAGTGTTTAGAATTCCTGGGTAAAGAAATGCAAGGGACTAGGCTGCAGGCACCACAGAGACTGGGGATGGGTGATCAAGGCCAGAGGGTAGATAAAGGGAAGAATACTGGGCCTAACAAAGTGATGATTTATCTCTGGCGGCACTCTTTATAGACATAGCACATTACCCAAGTGTTAGAGGTCAGGGAAGTTTCTTTTCTTTTTCTCTCTTCTCTTTTTCTTTCTCTGTTCACTTCTCTCTCTCTCTCTCTCATTCCCTCCCTCCCTTCCTTCCATATTGGATCTCTATTTTGTCCATGATGGAAGTGGAGACACTCTCTAATTCTAATAGGCCTGATCCCATTGCTGACTGCCATGAGAGCTTTGATCTGCTCCATGTCCAACCTGGACTGGCTTGCCCCTCTTTGGAGAGCCTGGTGGGCCTCCACTCCTAGAGGATCACCACATTGCTGGAGGATTTAGTGCAGACATTTTACTCTGCAGATATTTAGTGTAGATTGGCTTCAGTTTTACTAAGGTCAGAATGCCTGGTAAGTGATCCACAAGTCTCATTAGCGGGGATTACATGTTATGCCACCATGGAGGGAATTTTCCCTAAAGGGCATTAATTTACAACTTGAGGAAGAGATTATGTAGAAGAGACTTTTGCAAGATCTTTTGAAAAGGTGCTTAAAAGAAAAGGATGAATGGCTGGAGAGAAGAAAACTTGAATTACATTCTCAAACATTTCTTCCACTTTGAAAATGTTTAATTTTTTAATAAGACATATATCTAGTTTTTAAAACTCACAAAAGTGTGTGTGTGTGTGTGTGTGTGCGTGTGTGTGTGTGTGTGTGTGTATGTATTCTAGCAAGCCAAGGAACTGAGATCTGATCACCATAGTTGATGGTCTCTGTGAGTTGCTATGCCTGAAAAATTCACTATTTTGTGGCCAACATGGTGATGAGCCTTTCTGAATTTGGCCAGACTAAGTGGTCCTTTACCAAAAGACACACGCAGCCCATTAATGGGCCCACATCTGCAGCCCTTCCAACTTGATAGGAGAATTGCTGCAGCAACTCAGGTTGGTCTCCGAGTCATGACGAGGCAACAAAGTAGAACAATGATAAGTAAAAACAACTGCATATTCCTTTCTTAGCTATGTTTAAAAATACACAGAGTCAAAAGCAAGTATTTAAGAGATGAGAGGAGCTGAACACTTGGAGTGAATGACAAGCCCCTCACTGAGAGTCTGGAGAAGGGACGCTGAGACTGAAAGTGCCTGAACACTTCCAGCTGTGACTGCTCCCTCTGTGCATCTGTTAGCAAGTCACCAACCTGGATTTTACACTTGGCCTCCACCAGCTGCAGTTTGGTCTGGGCCAGTTCCAGCTCCATTTCCCGCAGTTGTTTCTTGAGTGAGTCCTTCTCATCATCAATTTCAATGCCCTGGTTTTCTTTGCTTATAGTTGCTAACTTCAGTGCCCCTTCCTTATTGAAAATCTCACTGCAGTGTTTGCACGCCATCACCTTCCCCTGCAATGTCCAAGCAGAGAACCAGTTATACTTCATTTCCCTAGAACACATTCACTTGTTTGCTGTTTGCTTATGGTGATATTGTCTGGAGGAGCAGAAACTGTATAGTGGAAAGAGGGCTAGACATGAAGCAGGAAATCTGAGCTCAAATGCTTTGAATAAATCATGTAAGTGCTTGGAGCCTCAATTCCTTCATCTGTAAAAATCAGAGGATTATACTAGATGATCTTTAAGGGCCTTTCAGTTCTAAATCTTGCCACACTATGATATTTCTCTGACACATGAGGGCCTATTCTGTACCAGGCATTTTTCTTGTATTTCAAAATATAAAATAGCTACACTGGAAGAGGTCACAAGGCCATGTATATATTCCTGGGACTTGACACCATTATATCCAAGGTACCTGAGAGTAATAGCATTCTTCTCCAAAAGAAGAGAATAAGCATTTATATAACATCTACTATGTGCTAAGCATCGTGCATCTTATTTGATCCTCAAAACAACCCTGGGAAATAGATGCTATCATTATCCCCATTTTATAGTTGAGGAAACTGAAACAAAGGCTGTGTCCAAGATCATACTGTTAAGTGTCTGAGGCTAGATTTGAACTCAGGTCTTCCTGGCTCCAGGCAAAGCACTCTTATCTACTGTGCCACCTGGCTGGCTACAAGATCTTCATAGATCAACATTTCCCAGAATTTTGCTTTAGAATCTACCTGTCCTTAAAAATGAAATTTATCTCATCTCCTTTAATGACTAGCCTAAATCTAAAATGCCTCCTCTAACAATCGGAGCCTATATCATCTTCAGTTCTCAGAAAAGGTGGATAATACCTGGATACTATCTCTGAAAAAAATCAATCTCCCCTCCCCACCCATGAATGAGCTTATTTTCCAAATTTGACATGTAAATAAGAAGGTTGACCACTAGGTGGCAGTACACAAGCAGAATCTTTGTTTTCTCTCCAAAATAGCTGTTTGGCTGAAGATAACTAGATAATCAGCACACAAATATTTATACTGAGCATCTACTAAATCTTTTTATTTTCTTATATTGCTTGTGAAAGTATATAGGGTGTTATGAAGAATGGTATATCTTCCACGTTTAAGCCACAGCCCTCAGGGAAGCTGCTGGTAGGGCTAACTTGCCCCTCTCAAACAGAGAACAGGCACACATTCATTGAGTCTGTGTCAATACATGTTCTTTCTTTCTGTCTCTCCGTCTCTCTGTCCCTCCGTCCTTTCTTTCTTTCTTTCTTTCTTTCTTTCTTTCTTTCTTTCTTTCTTTCTTTCTTTCTTTCTTTCGCAATTGGCGTTAAGTGACTTGCCCAGGGTCACACAGCTAGTAAGTGTCATGTATTAGGTCTGAGGTTGGATTTGAACTCAGGTCCTTATAACTTCAGGGCTGGTGCTCTATCCACTGCACCACCTAGCTGCCCCAATACATGTAATTTCTAACCTCTCCCTTTATTGCTTGCTTTTTCTCCATCCAACTCTCAGGTCAACACAGGCAAGCATAACCCTTCAAATGGCACAGGAGAGGACCACACAGAGCCAGGGAAGCACAATACTGATGCTCAACAAGGAAATCCTACCCCTCCTCCCCCCGCCTCCGGGAATGAGCATGTGTAGAACCTGACCCATTGATGGGCCAGCTGGTGATGTGGCCACCACATCAGGTGGAGTTTCCTGTCCCATGTCCTTATGTAGCACATACACATGTGGAGGCCATGGTGCTCAAATTTCACTCCCATACCTTGACAACTTCCAGTTCCTCCTTGTTGGCCGCTTGCTGCTTTTCCAGTCTGGTACTCAACTGGGAGCAGATCTAAATGAGAGAAAAAGAATTTCTTTGTTGGAAGAAGTCAGCTTTTTTATAAATTGCGAGCATAGTTATTATTAGTATCTATACAGGACTTCAAGGTTTGTGAAATGCTTTAGCTCATTATACTTTCACAATAACCCTGGGAGGTAGGGGCTATTATTATCTTCATTTTATAGATGAGGAAACTGAGAATGAGAAAGGTTAAGTGATTTGCCCAAGATCATATAGCCAGTAAGTGCCTTCTGAGGCAGGATTTGAATTCAAGGCTTTCTGATTCCAACTCTAATGCATTATGAACCACGCTATTTAGCTGAGAATCAGGTTTTGGTTTCAGAAGACATCTCTCTGGTCCTGCAAGTCACTGACCATCTCCCCTCTGTGTATTTGCAGGAAGAAGTCTAAAAATGTCACTTCAAATGGAAACTGCAGATCTGAAGAGGTAGGTTTAGCTTTCTCATTTCACTGACTCATTGGTCACTGACAAATAACTTCATGTTTCAACCTACAAGCAAGCAACCAGCTAATATTGTCTGAACCCCAACTTGTTCAGGGCTGTGGAATCTGTGGAACCACTTTGGATAAGCCTCCTTGTGCAGAACCACAAAAATATTCTTTGAGGAGAAATACAGTGAATAGGTCAAAAATAAAAACTACCCTTAGGCAATGTGGTCTGAAATGAGATGTCTTCAGGCAAGGAGAATAGGTCAATAAGTTCAGGCTGTTGATGCAGAAAAGGGCCATTTTTGTTTCTAGACTATATTATAGCAATAAAAACTGCTATTCTACTTAGTATCTTCTCTCTGCCATTATTTAAAAAAAATTTATATTTTAATTTTTTCCCAATTACATATTGAAACAATTTTTAACATTTAAAAAAAAGGATTGAGTTCCAAATTCTATCCCTTCCCCACCCCTCCTTGAGATGGTGAGCAATCCGACACAGGTTATACACGTGCAACCATGTAAAACATTTCCATATTAGTCATTTTGTACAGGAAGACTCAAACCAAAAAACAGAATGAAAGAAAGTGAAAAAAAGTATGCTTCAGTCTGCATTCAGACAATATCCGTTCTTTCTCTGAAGGGGATAGTATGTTTCATTATAAGCCCTTTGGGATTGTCTTGGATCATTGTATTGCTGAGAACAACTAAGTCATTCACAGTTGATTATTGTACAGTATTGCTGTTACTGTGTACAATGTTCTCCTGGTTCTGCTCATTTTACTTTGCATCAGTTTGTGTAACTTTCCAGGTTTTTCTGATATCATCCTATTTGTAATTTCTTATAACACAATAATATGCCATTACAATCATATACCACAACTTGTTCAGCCACTCTCTAACTGATGGGCACCCCTCGATGTCCAATTCTTAGCCATCACAAAAAGAGCTGCTATAAATATTTTTGTACAAGTAGGTCCTTTTCCCATTTAAAAAAAATCTCTTTGGGATACAGACCTAGCAGTAGTATTTCTGGATAAGAGTATGCACAGTTTGATAGCCCTTTGGGCATAGTTCCTAATTGCTCTTCAGAATAGATGGATCAATTCACAACTCCACCAACAGTGCATTAGTGTTCCAATTTTCCCACATCTTCCCCAGCATTTATCATTTTCTTTTTTTTTCCCTCCTATTAACCAAACTGACAGGTGTGAGGTGGTACCTCAGAATTGTTTTAATTTTCATTTCTCTAATCAATAGTGATTTAGAGCATTTTTTCATATGACTACAGATAGCTTTGACTTCTTTTTCTGAAAACTGCCTGTTTATATCCTTTGACCATTTATCAATCGGGGAATGACTTGTATTCTTATAAATTTGACTCAGTTCTGTATATATCTGAGAAATAAGGCCTTGTCAGACAGATTTGCTGCAAAACTTTTCCCTCAGTTTTCTCCTTTCTTTCTAATTTTGGTTACATTGGTTTTGTTTGTGCAAAAACTTTTTAATTTTATATAACCAAATTATCTATTTTACATTTTGCAATGCTCTCTATATCTTTAGTTCTAAATTATTCATTTATCTATAGATCTGACAGGTAAAGTGTTCCATGCTCTCCTAATATGCGTATTTTTTAATGTCTAAATCATGTACTCATTTTGACCTTATCTTGGTATACAGTATGAGATGTTGGTCTGTATCTAGTTTCTGCCATATTGTTTTCCAGTTTTCCCAGCCGTTTTTGTCAAATAATGAGTTTTTGTCCCCAAATCTTGGATTTTGGGTTTATCATATACCACATTACTATGGTGATTTACTACAATGTATTACGTACCTAATCTATTTCACCGATCCACCACTCTAGCCAGTACCAGACTGTTTTGAAAATTACTGCTTTATAATATAGTTTGAGATCTGGTGCAGCTAGACCTCTGTGTGCCATTATAAAGCAAATGAAATAATGAAATCAAATTGATCCTAGAGGTAAAAGGGAGTCCCTGGAATTTACTGATGGGGGGGGGTGATATGGACTGACTTCATTTTGGTAACTGTGTGGAGATAGATTGGAATAAGGATAGATGAGACAAAGAAAGAGACCAATCTAGAGGCTATAGTAATAGACAAATGAGAGGTGATGAGGGCCTGTGAAACTGGAAAGAAGAGGATATTGGTGAGAGATGTGGAAGTAGAAACAACATGATTTGTGTGTCAACTGAAGTGATATGGGGAAAGAGTGAAGAGTCAATGATGAAACCCAACTTATGAATCTAGATGGCTTTTGTTTCCAGCCTAGTCATTTTTCATTAACCTTCTTCTCCCCTACCCCAGTGAGTTCTTCCTTGAAACCAAAGCAAGGACAACAAAATTTAAACTGCTAAGTGCCATGAAAGCAGAACTCATGCCTTAACCAAACTCTGTATTTCCCAAGAGTCCTTAATAAAGGGTTTGTTGAATTAAGCTGAATGCACACTGGTTCAATCTAATTTTAAAACATACTAACGTTTGTTGAAAGAAAAATGGAGGGGCAGCTAGGTGGCGCAGTGCATAGAGCTCCAGCCTTGGAGTCAGGAGGACCTGAGTTCAAATCTGGACTCAGACACCTGACACTTAACTAGCTGTGTGACCCTGGGCAAGTCACTTAACCCCAACTGCCTCACCAAAAAAAAAAAAAGAACAAAAGAAAGAAAGAAAAATGGAGAGTGTCTGGTGCCCTGTCTGAGAAGACAGGGTGCTCTGTTACCTGTTTGTACTCAGCAATGATGGCTGTTGTTTTCTTTATTTCTGATTCTGCCTTCTCAAGCTGTCTCCTAAAGACTTCTTTTAGCTAGGGAGTGAAAGAAGAAGAGAAATAAGGGACAGCCAATGGTCAGGCTAATTTCACAAATACTTTCTTTAAGTCTTATCAATCAAATTATCAATAACAATAATAACAAGAACAATAAATGCAGATGATTTTTACTTCACATGGAGCGCCATTTTATAAAACCCAATCAATCTTCAGAGACATGATGAAGCTTGCTTTTTTTCTTAGAAAAGATTTTTTTCTGTGACGATCAATAGTCAGTCAATAAACATCTAATAAGCACTTACTATGATCCAGGCACTGTGGAAAACACTTCAGAAAAAAAAAAAGAGGCAAAAGATAGTCCCTGCCCTCAAGAAACTTACAATCTAATGAGGGAGGACAAAAAACAAAAGGAAGTAAAAACTAGAGAGGGAATAATTGGAGAGCAATGTTATGATATTCACTACATTTGTTATTTACTAATTGGTACTATTAAATAAATGAATTTAGTGCCTATCCAGACACATTCTGAAGTCCTAAAATAAATGCAAAGTTACTGAAAAATGGCCAAGCCCTGTCATTCCCTGTCTACAATTGCCTGCCTCTTGTTTCCCTGACAGGGCATTCATTCTCCGAGTCTCTAGACAGTGCAGTGTTATAACTAAGCCATGAATGAAGAAACAAGAGTCTGTACATCTACCTAACTGGCCACCTGCCACTGCTGTTCCCCTCCTAGAGGCCAAGGGAGTCATGAAGGTGGTGTCAAAAGACAGAGAGGCAGTCAGTGAGACAGAGTTAGGAGAAAAACAAGGGTCATAGGACTCTGAAGGATGAAGGAGCCAGGCAGTGAACCAGAAAAGCTAGGTTTCCACAGGAAGTCAGCACCTGCTCCAGGCACGTAGGCACCTGGATTTCTTGCAAGGAGTGATCACAGTATAATTATAAATACTGCATTTAAAAGCACAGCCCTGTATTTGAGCTTGAGAGCTCTAGAATTTTAGGTGCAGAAGCATTTGTATGAGAGCCCCCTGAAAAGGTGAGCGTGGTTTTGCCAAATTCATGAACAAGAGAATTCTGTTCAATACCATAGTATACTAGTCCAAATGAATGAAGAAAGAGCATCTTCTGGTATGGTTGCCTATATTATTAATGAGCTGGGCTAGAGATTCACTAATTTGTAAAACACTGTAATTTACAGCTGGTCTCCCTATAATTAGAGTTTGTTTGTGAGATCTCATCATGCTTGTTACCTCCTGAGATGCTGAGAGCAATCTGTAGATTTTGCTGATATAGGCCTAGCTAGTCATGTTTATTTCTATCTTTGAGAATGTGTTATTTGGAGACACGAATAGTAAATGAGACCAAGAAGAGGAAGAGAGACTAGGTTCCTGGGCAAATACAAACAGTTATCTATCTGCAGAGGCAAACTTTAGCTTGATCTAAAAGGAAAGACTTCACAGCAATTAGAACTTCTCAAGAACAGAATGGGCAGCCTCCAGTAGGGTCTCCCATTGCCAAAGGTCTTCCAGCACAGGGCAGCTAGCTGGTTGAGTACCACTTGTTAGGGATGTCAGAGAGGAAATTCTATTCAACTATTAGTTTGGACTAGGTCAGTAGTGCCAAACTGAAACAGAAATAGTTCCCAGTAGGCTCGTGTTGACTTCAAAAATCAAATTAACTATATCTATGATACTGTGTTCTTAGTTTGTTAAGTATTACCAACTGCAGTTTAATCTGGTTCAGATGGAAAAAAAAAGCAGACATGGGAGCATCTAGGTGGCACAGTAGATAGAGCTCCAGCCTTGAAGTCAGGAGGACCTGAGTTCAAATCCAACCTCAGACACTTGTAACATACTGGCTGTGTGACCCTGGGCAGGTCACTTAACCCTGAGTGCCTCACAAAAAAAAAAAAGCGCAGAAGTAGGTGATTAAAATCCATTGTCAGTTCATACCTTCTCTACCAATAGTTTTTTTCCTTCCCAAATTAAACCTCCTACCAAAGTTTCCACAAAACAAACCAAAAAAGCAAAACAAAACAAAACACTCCTCCCACCCCCACCCCCCCGAAACTGCTTTGAAGAAGAGTATAGTATAGTACGTAGCATTCTGGATTTGTACTTAGAGGACCTGGGTTTGGATCCTGGACCTGTCACTTATAACCTTGGTTATGCAAATAATTTAATCTCTCTGAGCCTCAGTTTTTCACTTGCATAGTAAAGTAGTCAGAATTAATGGCCTCTATAATCCCTTTCTGCTCCAAATTTGTAATCCTAAGGCCAAAAGTTTCACCTCCTATCTCTGGTTAAGACGGTAATAAATAACAAAATAGGAAAGGGACAGATAGGAAGGTCCAAGTTTCAAAGACCTAAAATAACCCACAAAATGGAAATTAGGTCCAAAGCCATAAAAGAAAGCAGGGCTAGGGTTCACACCAAATGACCCAACACTTTTTTCTTGTCACTCTGCTGAAATTAAACTGACTTAGATGGTTTGTAGCTTTGAGAAAATGCTAAAATTACATGCTGCCCTTCAATAAATGAATTTATTGGTGGTTGCTCTGGTTTAACTGGTTCTAAGACTTTGAAATGCTAGGTATTATAGGCTAGATATTTGGCACTTTATCTCAGAACAGAACCCAGAATATACAAGTCAACAAAAGTTAATACCCAAGATTTAAGAAGTCTACAAACTTGACAGCTGCTTGGGTCTACTAGTAAAATTCTAAGTGAGCACTTTTAAAATTGGCTCTCAGCTGATGCAGTTGGTTGTGAAGAAGACTAAGGCATGAAACAAATCTATGTGAGCTTCATCGACTCTTGTTTCTTGCACTCAGGATCCGAGGGATCCAGAGCACCCGAAGTGGTATGTTCTTCCTTGGGAAACCTACTGACTCACCACTTGGGGCTGACAGTCTATTATACTGCAAACACCATTCTGTGTTCCTTTTTAACAGCAGTCTCTATCAGTTAAGTCATTAATGGATCACAAGATCACAGATTTCAAGCTGGAAGGGACCTTAGAAACCACTGAGTGAAACCTCCTCATTGTATTGATGGGGAAACTGAGGCAGAGAGAGGCAACATAACCAAGGTCACCCAAGTATAAGGTGGCAGCTCTCTTTTCATGATATCGTGCTGCAGGGTGATGGCTTGAAGTCTGGTCCCCAAAGAATTCTAGAGCTCTAATGGGAACATTTCCACATTCTCCTGACTGGCTGAAGGAGGGTGTGGCAATACCCATTAGAAATCACCTCCCAAGGCTTTATTGAAGGAATCTGATGTCATCCACTGTCTTATTAAACCTCTTGGATCATGTCTCTCTCTACTGAATTTAAAGCAAACTACTCAATAGCTTTACTTAGGATACTTCACTGAAGGCGAACTCCAGTGAATATTCCTATTTCTCTTTATAAAAGCATGCACATCAAGAATATAGACTCTCCACTCCCCTACTTCCAAGGGAATTTATAGGCTCAATGCTTCATTCTAAGAAGATAATTCTACAGGTTCTCCCCAAAAGCTTCTTGATTTTGAATGAGCACAATGCCGTATATAGCCTGGCTGGGTTGCTTGTTTGTTTTTTCTGAAGATATGTAGCCCTTAGTCAATAAACCTACTATAAGAGAGAGTCAAAATACCTGAGCAGTTTCTTCCTCTTGTTTCCTCTTCTCTTCTTCAGTTTCCACTAGTCTCTGTTTGGTCAGGAGCAGCTCTTTATTTAAAACATCTGCCTTGTCTTCAGCCTGCAATCACAGGGAAATTAAATGTCATAAGTGGGAGTGCATTTGTAACATTTCTTAGGTCCTAAACAGTTTTTCAACACTGGACAAATGCTGATCTGACTATCTATAGATACGTGGAAATTATATGTAATACGTGTGTGTGTGTGTTCACACACACTTTTCATCTATTGTATCTATCTGTCTCTATCTATCTATCTATCTATCCACAACCACATCTTATTAAAAGATGATGATACTTTGTGTGGGTGTCCCCCAAGATTCCTTCTTGTGTCCTTTTCTCTCTGTAATCTTTCTCTTCATGATATTGGTTCATGAATTAAGTTATCTCAGAATCACAGACTTTTAGAGGTGAAAGGGCCTTCAGTGATCACCTTTAGTCTAATTCATAGCTGAAAAAGAATCCCTACAATAACATACCATATGAAGCCATCTAGCCGATTTTAAGACCTTCATCTTTATGCAAAAGATGCTGAATTCCCTATAGTTGGCCCACATCCCTCTTCTGAACTCCAGCTCTTCATTACTGACCGCTTGCTGGCCATCTCCATCTGGTTATGCCAGAAGAAGGTCAATATGTCCAAAGTGGAACTTCCCTAAATCCCACCCCCCTCTTCCTGACTTCCTTACTTCAATTGAGGGCACCCAGATTCAGAACCTCACAGGTATCTTTGATTCCTTCCTTCCCCCTCCCCAATCTCCAATCAGTTGCCAAGCCTTGCCAATTCTACCTCCATAACATCTCTCACATCTACCCATCTCACCACTAAAACAGCCACCAGCCTAACTTAGGTGCCCAGCACTCCTCAACCCCACTATTACACCAGTCTCAGCTCTGTTCTCTCTGCAGCTAGTCTTTCCCCTCTCTAATCCATTTTTCACACAGCTGCCAAATTAATATTGCTAAAAGTACAGATTCGACCAAGTCATTCCCTCACTCTGAAGCTTCAGTGGTTCCCAGCTGCTTCTAGGATAAAATTTTAAATCTTCAGGTTGGCATTTAAAGCCTTCCACAATATTGCTCCCACTTTTCTTTTCAAACTTACTTCCCATTATCATCCTTCATGTTCCTCCTAAGTCTTTGCACAGGCTGCTACCTGGAATGATACTCCATCCTCACCTCTGCCTTTTTGCACTCCTAGTATCTCCCAAGGCAGCTAGGTGGTGCAGTGGATAGACTGCTGGGCCTGGAGTCAGGAAGACTCGAGTTCAAATATGACCTCAGATGCTTACTAGCTGAGTGATCCTGGGCAAGTCACTTCACCCTGTTTGCCTCAGTTCCTCATCTGTAAAATGAGCGGAGGTGGAAATGGCAAACCACTCCAGTATCTTTGCCAAGAAGACCTCAAATGGAGTCACAGAGTCAGACAGACTGAAACGAGTAAACAACAACAAAATGCCCTCCAAAGCACAAAAGGAGAGCTGCCCCACGTTAGGTTTTTCCTGATTCCCTTAGTAGTTGGTATCAAAGTCAATTTGCATGAATTTGCACACAGTTATTGGTATACTTGTTATTTCTTCCAGTGGAATATCAGTACCTTACAGGTGGGGATTATTTCATTTTTGCCTCTGTATATACCCAATGCCTTGCACACAGTAGACTGTAAATAAGTGTTTGTTGACCTGAATGGAAGACTAAGGGCTGTTCTTATGCTTATTCATTCGTGGACAGTGGTGGCAAAGGTTGACAGCTCTTCTCACTTTCTCTGGAACAGAGCTACGGACACCAATCGTGATGCCGCCATGATTTGTAATACTCTGGCTCTTGAACACATTGTTGGGTACACAGACCTTTATTCCTAAAGAATTGTCCCATTCCTCCCAGCCGTGTGCTAGCTCATCCTGTCTGTGGTTGTGCTGCTATTTGCCGTTAGTTCCTACAACCAGGTTAAATTATTTGAAATTGTGCATCCTCAAGACTCGTCTATTCTCTGCTTATAATTATCCCACTTCACCTTGACATACAACAACCTACTGACCATCTTGATACCATCTCTTTTCTGTATAAAAACCTGTACTTGTTCCATGCTCTGACAAGTGCCAGGGCAATCAAACCCAGTGGAGCCTTATTACCTCTAGGATCAAACATCAATTCTGTTTGGCGTTCAAAGGCCTCTCCATTCCGGCCTCCATCTACAGTGCTGGCCTAATTACACCTTACAACCCTCAAATTCCTTACTCTAGAGTCAAAGAGGCTTTCTCACTATTCTTCATCTTGCTCCCCTGTGCTTTGGTCTTTGTTTATCCCTCATGCATGGAACGCACGACCTCTTTACTTCCACCTCTTAGAATCCTTCAATATTTAGCTCAAGCACCACCTCCTACATGAAGCCTTACCTGATCCCTCCAGGTGTTTCTGGCTTCCCAACCTGCCCCCCCCAATCACTTTGCATCTATTTTGCCTTTACCTATATATGCCCAAGTCTCCTTCAATAGAATGTAGGCTCCTTGAGGACAGGGACAGTACCTAATATAGTACTTGTCCAGGGTAGGCATTTAACAAATGGTTTTTTTGACAAACTGAAATTGAATTTTAGAGATATTTATATTTATGCCAATTGTTGGTACCAAGGAAAGACTACAGACAATGAGATACATGCACAGGTAAGGTGACTACCCAAGCAAAGTGGGAGGAGCCAAAATGGCTCTCTGAATCGGAACTTACTGAATTGTAAGAAGCTTGGATTGCAAAGGAAAAAAAATGGGATCCAGAATGCACGAGGGGACAGTGTAATTAACAAATGTCTCAGAAGTGCAAGGACACTATGTTGAATCAGCAGGAGTAGATCAGGCAAGCTGGCCCCAAGTGCTAAAGAAATTCTCCAGGCAGAATCCTGAGAAGCCACTAAGGCTGGATTCTAATCATCTGTGCAGAAAACAGTTTCAACTGAAGACAAAAGAGTTTCAGGCCTAGGGTTGAAGACAAAAGAACTTTATTTCCAATGTGTTCAAGAAGAGATGAATGCTGGAAGAACTGGAAATGCCTAGAGATGCCTGAACTGTGTAGTTTTAACTTACCTAACTTGTATATAAGCTGTATCCCAGGAGCGTCTCAGATGACGGAGCATTCTGAGATGCAGTGGACTGGGTGTGAGATAAGAAAGCCTTTGGGAGAAGTACAGAAGGCCTGGGACTCACCTCTCCCTGAAGGAGAAATACTAACACCCTGGGCAGAAGTAACCAAAATTCCCTCAAGCAGTGCAGGGATCAGCCAGGGAGCTTTCTGTTTGTGTTCCTTCTCATGCCACATGGCCAGCCCCGCAGAGCTCCACAGGACTTTTGTCTGTTTGTCTGTTTTGGGGGGGGAGATTACATTTTGAGTTCCTCCCAACACAACAGTAGAGGAGGCCAACATTTCACACACACACACACACACACGTCTGTATCTATACACACATATACATATATATACACACACACACACACACACACATACAAACCATACAATACATACTCCCATATAACAGTTCTTTCTCTGGAGGTGGATAGCATCTTTCTTCATAGGTCCTTTGTAGTTGATTTGAATATTCATACTACTCAGAATAGCTCATTCGAGCTTTATGGCATAGGGATGCTGGCAGAGTGACTACACTCTAGGACTGCATACGTCCTTGTCCTACAGTGTACTAATTTTTCACATTACAACTGTCACATCTTTGTCATGGGGGATTTTGCTGCTACCAGGAATTTGTGATAACAACAGACTTCCCTCAAAGATGCTATCATTCATAGGTGTGCTAAAGATTTTGGACAAATGCTAATATATGCATATATTAGGGTATCCCCAAAGTCTTAAAGCTTAAAACCGTACTACTTTTGGGACATCCCATGGGGGGGGCGCATGCGCGCGCGTGTGTGTGTGTGTGTGTGTGTGTGTGTGTGTGTGTGTGTAATTGGTTTTCTTAGTGATTCTATGTATTTTATTTTATGCATTTAAAAAAATGATTCTGAGAAGGGAACCATAGGATTTACTAGGCTGCCAAAGGGGCCCATGATACAAGCAAGGTTAAAAACCTTGGAATTAGGGGCAGCTAGCTGGCACAGTGGATACAGCTCCAGCCTTGGAGTCAGGAGGACCTGAGTTCAAATATGGCCTCAGACACTTGACACTTACTAGCTGTGTGACCCTGTGCAAGTCACTTAACCCCAATTGCCTCACCCCCCCAAATAAAAGAACCTTGAAATTAGTCCTACTTCTCACTCAATGCAGAAATCTCTTCTACAGCTCACGCATGATGGACAGTCATCCAGGATCTAATAGAACATGCTGGGCGATAGGGAACTCACTATTCACTACTTCGGGAGGCAGCTTGTTCTGCTGTTGAGTAGCTTGCATTTTTGTAGAACTTTAAGGATTGTGAAGTCCTTTACCAATATCATCTCATTTTATTGTCAGAACCACCTGGGAAAGTAGATGCTATTATTATCCCCATTTTACAGATAAAGAAACCAAGGCAGACAAATGTTAAGTGCTTTGCTCAGGATCACACAGTTGCTAAGTGTCAGAAGTCCCATCTGAACTCGGGTCTTTCACACTGACCTGGAGTCTACCTCTCTTGTAACTTCTGTGTAGCTCTACCCTCTGAAGAAAAGCAGAGAAGTCTACTTTGCATGATGACTCTTTGGATATCTGAAGACAGCAATAGTATATCTCCCTTTAGTCTTTTTTCTTCCAAGCTAAACACCCCGAGTCTGTCTGTCTGTTTTTGGAAAAAGAATTCTCTTGTAACCTGAGAATAATTTCCTTAAGTTTATCTGGTTTGTTGGCTTTATTTTTCTATTTCAGATTTAAAAAAAATACATTTGTGGTTTTTAGCTGAGGTTCATTGGTGGGTACTCAATAGGCATCCTACTACATGCTCATGCTCTAAGATGGTTTGGATTTGGGCAATAACAGAAACATCAGTGGCAAACTCAAATGCATCAAGAAGATTTCTCTTAGTAATTTTTAATTAGCACACTTAAATGAATGCCCATATAATAACCATCCATTAATATGAAGTAAATAACAGTTCCTGTTGTGCACTCGTTCTATAAAGGGCCTCTCAGCCTCACTTTATCCATAGACCTACTGATACATACTCTGGCTGTGCCACGGAACAAAACAGACTAATTAGAGGCAACTGTGAATAGCACTGTGGATCAACTTACAGTAGGGTCAACCTAAGGCAGGGGGCATTAGTACCTGAACACACTAACAGCAGGATTCACCTAAGGTAGGGTGGGAATAGTGCTATGAACCCACTAACAGTAGGATCAATCTGAAGCAAGTGTGAATAAATAATGCTATAGTCTTGGGTCCCATGTGGGCACGGACCCCGTAACTACAGTTAGACTCAGCTTAGCTCTTAGTTTCTGCTCTAAGACTCATCTCTGTCAGAGGGTGGGACTCCATGCTATCAGTAAAATGGGGCCAGATTTGAAGTTGTGAGTGGCATCTAATTTTGTTTCTGAACAAAGTGTTTTCTGATTCACAGTCCCTGGGGAGCATCACGACAGCCCAAGTAATCAGCATCAACACTTACTGAGAACCTCGGTGCTACTAAGTATGGAGTACCCACTAACGACAGAAACTCTGCCCAAGTATGGAAGGCATACCAATCAGAACACCACCATATTAGTTCCTCTAATAGACTTCTTAAAAATGTCTGAGCTCTGGGCATCAAAGCAACATGGCACACGCACATTACATATACCACAATGAAACATGTGAGATAACTAGTTTCTTTTCTGAACAAAATGTTCAGTTCTATTAATAAGGCCACTTTATAGTTGGAAGACACTGGCAAAACAGGATAGGAAACTAGCGATCTACTTTATTTAAATGGGCAGATTATGGCCTGGGAAATAAAAGGAAGGGATGGTTCTACTGTTTTCCTAAATAGTAAAAAAGATTTTAAAAAATTATTAAAGCAACAGGGACTTAGAGCTCCTACTGGAAAGGTGCTCAGTTGCTTCTTTTCTTCCTATTTAAAAATTCCTTTCCAGGAATGGAAAAGATAAAAAGAGCCAGAAAAAGATATAGAGAACTACATCTTTCTTTCCTCCCTGGCAGACTCTTCTCTGAGGTAGTTAAGGAGAGACTGAGAAAGAAAAAATTGGGGGCTAAGGGAATTTTAAAAAAATCTAATTTCAACTGGGCTCTCACTGTCACAGTGATTCTTTTATTTTTCTCCGATTGACTCTTGATCATACTTCCCCTCCTCATCCAGTGGGTATTCTAAATCTTCTCCAAGTTTCTTCTCAAGCCCCCTACACTATACTCACCCCTCTACTCCTTCAAGCAGATAATTCTGCCTTCTACTCTGCTGAAGAAATTGAGGCCCCTGCTGTGGGCTTCCTCATTACTCTATCTTTACATCTAAAATCCCTCTACATTCTCTCCCATCCTTACTTCCTTTGAGTCTCTGAGAAAGAGACTCCTTGCCAAGCCTAGCCCTTCTACTTCACTGATTCACAAAGTCTCTGAGCTGAAAGAAACCTCAGAGGCCAGGAAATGCAATCAGTGGTGCCTTCTATGTTTTCTATCTAACAAGTATGTTCATCCAGCTTTTGTGAGAAGCTTTTGCCTCTAGTGATGGAGAACTCATTTTCATTGGAAGCAGTTCGTTCCACTTTTGGACAGTTCTGACCATTAAGGCATTTTTCTGTACATTAAACCTCTCTGAAACTCTCAAGCATTGCTGCTCATTCTGCCCTCGGGATCAAGCAGACCAAGTAGAATCCCATTATCACATATGAGCCCTTCTAACGTTTAAGGAAAGCGTCAAGTCCTAGCTAAGTCTTCTCAAGGCCAAGAAGGCTTGTCAGATTCTTCAAGTGATCCTCATATGGGTGGCATCATCTGGAAGCCTTTCACCATCCTGCTTCTACTCCCCCTTCTCTTCCCATCTCCTCCAGGATCATGTCCCATCAGTTTCTTCTGTTTTCTCCTTAATCTCCATCCTTCCCTGCAATCAGATATGTCCAGATCCTCCTTATATTTATCATCCTAGATTTCTCTTTCCTTTTCCTGCCAAACTCCTAGGAATAATGGCTCCATTTTCTCCCTTCCCACTCACTCCTTAATTCTTGTAGCTTTGCTCTTAAACCCACCATTTTACTTGAAGGTGCTCTCAAATGGCACCAATGATCTCTTCTGCTACCTCTCCGGCTGCATCTTCCCTGACTTCTGTGCAGCCTTTGGCACTGGCGCATCACCCCTCCCCTTCTCCATACGTCTCTCTCCTCTCTGTTCCCACAACATCATTCTCTATTAGTTACCTATCATCCTGTTCCTTTCTAGTATTGTTGGTTGAATTGTCATTCATCTCCTTCTCCATTATCGTAAGGTTCTCTTAAGGATGTTTCGGATTCTCTCCTCACTACATATTTTCCTCTGGTCATCTCACCAGCTCCCACTGGTCCAGTTATCCTCTCAGAATCACAGAATCTCAGAGTTGGAAGAGATCTCACAGGCCATCTAATAAAAATCCCCTCTACAGGGGATCCCCACGAAACGTGATCATCCAACTTTTGTTTGAGGACTTCTACTGAAGAAGAATCTATCACTAGTTCTCAGACAGTCTGTGCCATTATCTATATCCCAGGTACCTGGGCAATATCATAACTAACAACTGGCAGTGTACCTTCTTTCTAGCTGTTTAGGACTAAGGTGAGGAGGGAGCTGTAGAATATCCTCCCTTCCTTCTCCCTGGCTCCAACCAATATAGGAACTGTCCTCAGCAGGTCACGGATTTGATTCAAAACTGACTTTTGATTCAAAACCAACTCCTTTCTTTCAACATAGCCAACACTTTTCGGAGCTGGTAGAGTCTGGATGGAAAGAGATTTGTCTCACCCTTAGGACAAAAGCTGAGGAGTAGTATTACATACTGGCAAGAAGCAACATCACTAGGATTATATGACTGGATTTGTCACATGTTAGGACAGTTGGGGCAGCGGACAGTGCTAGGCCTGGAGTCAGGAAGACTCATCTTCCTGAGCTCAAATCTGGCCTCAGACACTTACTAGCTGTGTGACCCTGGGCAAGACATTTAACCCTGTTTGCCTCAGTTTCCTCATCTATAAAATGATCTAAAGAAGGAAATAGCAAACCACTCCAGTATTTTTGCCAACAAAACCCCAGATGGGGACATGAAGAGTTGGATATGACAGAAATGACTCAACGACAACAAAAGGACATTTTTTAGTTGTTAATCTATTGTTATCTTTTCCCCAAGAACAATTATGTGTCTTACTTATATCGCTAGAATTTTTTTTTAAGACCTATGATTTCATGGCCATAGGGGATCTCCCAGATAAAGAAACTACCCTGCTTAATGCAGGTCTACACCTTCTCTTCAACTGCTAAGGCTTACTGAGTAGCCTAGAGCAACAAAAGGTTAAAATAACCTGCCCAGAATCACACAGCCACTATGTCTCAGAGGTAGGTTTAGGATTATGGTTAAAGATGTTTTAATTGCACAAGAGTAATTTTTTATTCACAAGTTTATACTGGGCTAGGAATTTCCTCTGGTGTTACATATACTTGATATCAACCTGAGTTTCTATTATATGGTTATTACTGAGCTAATAATTTGCTCCATAAACCATGTGCTTTGTGGTCCACATTAAATGCTCCTCTTTCTTGAGCAATACTGTCATTTTGTGGGCTTCAACTTTTAGGGATTCTTGTGACCGTGAACAGAAGACCCCAAGCATACTTGCCCCCAACAGATATGGGGATACAAGCAAGCCTGACAACATCAATAACTCCGCATCTATGTATCCAGACAAAATCTATATCCTGAACATCCGTCCCACATTGTGAATCACCCACTAGACATGACCAGGATGTCCTGTTTGCATCTACAACTAACATGACCAAAACAGAACCTGTTATTTTTCCCCACCTAGCCAGTCAGTCCATCTTGCATGTTTCTCTATTTCTGTGGGAGGCAGACTCCCTGCTGAGTTACTCTAATTTGTGAACTCAGAGTTCATCTTGACTGTTCCTTCTACTGTTCCCCTCGCTGCCCTGCTACAGCTAACCCAAAAAGCTGCCAAGTTTGGTTCATTCTTTCTCTTGACCACCTGCCTCTCACATTAGCTCCCTTCTGTTCTTTTATACGGCCATCACCTCCTGCCTGAATTATTGCAAGACCCTCAGCTTTAGTCTGCTTATAGTCTCTCCCCTCTCCAAAATATTGTCACTCCACACAGCTGCTAAAACAATCTTCACAAGGCCTAAGTCTGACTCTGCCCTTCCCGTCTTCCCATTAGTCTTCCCTACTGCCTTGAGAATTAAACAGAAGTCCCCCCAACTTACATTGCTAGACTTATTTCATATCACTCCCCTTCACAGTGCAGAAGTCTCAACCAAACTGGACTCCTTGCTGGTTCCCCACATGATACTGCCATGTTTCACCTCTGTAAAGCCGCACAACTGTCTCCCATGCTTGGAATCGATTCCCCTTTCATTTGTGCCTTTCAGAATCCTTGTGCTTCAAGTCTCAGCTCCAGTTCTAACTCTAACCCTCAGCTTTCCTCGATTCCCCACTCCCCTCCCCGCATTTGTTCCATTCTCTCTCCAAATTTCCTGGTATTATCTTTATTTGAGCCTCTGTTGTATCACTTCCAGTAGAATGTAACTTCACTGAGGGAAGGTAATGTCCCATTTTTGTATTTCTCCTTGTTTTGGTTTTGTATCCCTATACACACTTAACACACGCTTAATCTGTATGTGGAGGGGTTCTGATGCTGAGGAAGCTTCAAGCCCAGAGGGTTGGGAATACAATCAGGTTCTTATTTTGAAGTCAAGCAAAAGAGGGAATGGACTAAACATGATCAAAGTTAGGAGAGAGTAGGGAAATAACAGACATAATTGTACCTTAGAGCCTTTTGGCTTTTAGCAAACTAAATTAGAAAACTCCTTGAGGGCCAAGATTATTTCTTACTCATCTTAGTATCTCAGCACACACCAGTGTCATGCTAGTACCCAGCAAGTGCTTAACAAAATGTTACTGAATTGAGCACTTTCTCAAATGTTATCAAGTTTTTAAACATTGCCTGTTACCTCAATAAAGAGGCTTTTATTTTTTTAAATAAATGAAGTACAGAAAATCTGTTGCTAACTTGAGTCAAGTATAAATATTTTATTGAGTGCTAATCATCAGTTCTGACTCTGACTATGGGATCCTCCTATTGCCACAAAGACTCTTTTTGTAAAGGGGAGGTTATTTTATGAGGTACTCCAGGTTCCCATTTTTCCTGAAAATATCCTAGTTAAGGGTTAATCCCTTATAGCTGGGTCTCTAGTTCACTATCCTTGGCAATGCTTCCATTGCGTTGGGCAGCTTCCTGGAAAGACCTTTTGATTCCATACTGTGTACCCCACAGAGGCAGTGTATCTCTGTTCAGATTCCCCCAAGTCCTCCTCTCTTCCTAATTTTCCTATTTCCATCACCTCCCATCTTGCAATCTCAATGTCATCTTTGATTCCTTGCTCAAACTCACCCCACATATCCATTTTGTTTCCAAGTCTGTCATTGTTGTCTTCACAACAACTCTTATCTAAGTCCCCTTACCTCTCCATTCAAATAGTTTCACATTGGTGGAAGGCTGGTCCAGGTGCCTCATAGACAATAGCCTTCTGTCTGGTCTTCCTGACTAAAGTCTCTCCCCACTCCAGACTATTCTCCAGTCACTGGCCAAAGTTCTCTTCCAAAGTGCAGATCTGACCACGTCACTTCTCTACTTAATAAACTCTAGTGGTTCTCTGTAACTTCTAGGATCAAATATAAAAGTGCTGTTTTAAAGCCCTCATCACCTGGCCCCTTTCTATTTTTCCAACCTTCTTACCCTTCCCTCCGTTCCATGGACTCTGGCCTTCCTGTAGGCCCTTGACATGATACTGTCTTGAGCTACCCTGTGTCCCTTCACCGGCTGTCCCCCCCATACCTGGAATACTCTCTTTTCTCTCTTCTGCCTCCTGGCTTCCATGGCCTCCTTCCAGATTCAGTTAAAATCCCACCTTCCTTAAGAGGCCATTACCCTCCTTCCTTCTCCTACCCTACCCTAGTGCCTTCTCTCTGATCTTACCTTCTATTGTTTACAAGGCACCTATCTTGTATATGTGTAGCTGTTGTATGTTGTCTCTCTCACAAAAATGTGAATACCCTGAGGGCAGGGACTGTTTTTTTGCTATACTTTGTCTCCCCAGTGCTCAGCATGATGCCCAGCATACAATAATAACAGTATTTATATATAAATATAAAATAAATGTTTGTTGACTGACAGACTCGTTCCAAACTGATTTACTCCCATTTGCATCACTTCCACTGAGGGGACATAATGACTAAACCTGTGGTCTAGCATTATCAGAAAGTGCAGGCAGGGCTTCTGGGGTTTGGTCTTTGACCCTGTTTGCCATGGAGGGAGTAAGACTTTAGCAGCTAAGGTTCTATTTTTTCTCATGCCTAAGGACAAGAGAACAGGGTTGCCTTCAGTGCCTCCTCCCTTTAGGAGACTGTGAAGGAGCAGCAGGGTCCCCTCTCCCTTACCCTTCTATCCCTCTCTTCCTCTCCCAGAAGCTGAGAGATCCATGCTTTTTTGTCCCAGCAGGCCTAGCTGGGCTTAGATCAGGTATTGATTGTAGTCCATTTTAATTGTCTGTACAGGAACCATCGTGTGCTTTCTATTTTTAGGATTATTTTTTAAAGATTTTATTTTTATCATATGGAAGTAATTATTGATAAGTTTGTACACTATTGAGCTAATGATTCCCCTGGTAGCCATGTGCTTGGTTGTTCAATTTACACTCAGCTGATATGCTTAGTACAAAGCTAAAAATTCCCTCAGAATCTGTATTTTGATAATCCTCATTTAATACTTTCCTCTTTAGAGTAATGGTATGTAGTTACTTTGGGGGTTCACTTTTGCTGATATGCTGAGACCAACATCAAAAATCCCAGAAGTCCTGGAACCTCAAAAGATTTTGAGGTGCAACAGGAAATAGTTGGGAGAAAATGTGCAGAGTTCCCTTCTGCTTCTGTCTCATTCCAAGTCCTTTCCAACCTAAAACCAAGAAACAACTTTTTGAAATGCTTCCCTCTGAAACTGAAACTACAAGAGAACAGAATGGTTATTGAACTTCTCAGGGCTTCTCCATCACGCCCCAGGAACCTCTTCATCTCAACAAAGATCACTTCCCACACTTCATTAGTTCCCTGTGCCCCTGGGGCCCCTTCCTTGGATTGGAGGGTGGAGAGCTCCTCCCAGAACCTCCCTTTAGGAAGGGCAACCAGGTCAGTCACCCTTTCATTCCCTCACACCCAGCACTGTTCTCCGAATTTCTCCATCATGGCCCCAAGCCCTTTTCAGCTCTCTTTTGTGTGTTGTCTTTCCCCATTAGAATGGAAGATCCTTAAGGGCAGAGACTCTCTTTCTTTTTTCTATTTGTATTTCCAGAATTTAGCACAGTGCCTGGCACATAGGTTGTTGTTTAGTTGTATCTGACTCTTCATGAGCCCATGGACTACAGCACCCCAATACTGTCCATGGGGTTTTCTTGGCAAAGATGCTGGAGTGGTTTGCCATTTCCTTCTCCCGTAGATTAAAGCAAACAGAGGTTAAATAATTTGTCCCAAACAGCTAGTGAATGTCTGAGGCTGTATTTGAAGTCAGGTCTTCTTGACGCCAGGCCAGCGCTCTATCCACTGAACCATCTAGCTGCCTCACCTGGCACATAGTAAGTGCTTAATAAATATTTGTTGACTGATTGATGTGTCTTCTCAACTGGACTATAAATATTCTGAGTTCAGGGACTATGCTTTTTTTTTAAAATCACTCTTACTTCTTACCTGCATAGTACTATACATCTACTATGTGCATCTTTCTTGGGAAAGATACTGAAGTGGTTTGCCATTTCCTTCTCCTGCTCATTTTATAGATGAGGAAACTGAGACAAATAAGGTTAAGTGAATTGCTCCAGGTCACACAGCTAGTAAGTGTCTGAGGCCAACTTTGAACTCAGGAAGATGAGTCTTCCTGACTGCAGGCCCAGCATGCTATGCACTGTGCCATCTAACTGCCCTAAAATATTTGTAGAATACATCAGTTTAGGGGTATTCACGTTAAAAAGCCATTATAAACTGTGTTTCATTGGAAAAAAAGAGCTTTTCCTGCTGATGAAACATTCTTGGTGAAATGGCTAAGAGGCTGGCTCTGATGGGATGCATTATGCTGCTACACTACCAGGTTGCTCAGTGACATCATTATTTCCTGAATCTGGGTGCCTTCCATTATCAGAGGGAAGCTCTCATTTGAAGTGCAATTGTTGAGACTAGCTAAGACTAAGAAGAAAATGCTGAATGGGTGAGACTCAAGAAAGCAAAAGCAAATAACCAATTCTGTAAATAAAAGCTAGTCCCTTCTTTCTGTGAGGACAAAAGCAATTTCTAGAAATATGCTGGGAATAACTGTTTTCACTATCTTCCCAGCCACCATTTCCAAACTATGCAGCCCACACTCTGACTGACCAACATGGCTATCTGCCCCTCCCCCACTTATCAGAACCTTTGATTCTGCCCCAGGGATCAACCTAGGCTCTGTTAGGTGAGCCACCATTTTTCCTGCCTGGAACCAGGCCTCCATAGTCCTTCCCAGAGACCATTTCCAAACCATGCCACCATGTATGTATGTAAGCCCTTTTCCAGCTTCCCTTTATGTGTTTGTCTTCTGCCCATTAGAACGTAAGCTCGTTGAAGACAAAGACAGTCTTGCTTGCTTGTATCTATATGCCCAGTGCTTTGTTTTACCCATGTACGTCTGACTTTCATCATGTCGATTATACATACATGAAAAATGGTTTGGACTAGCAGACTGAGGGCTAGCCTTGAAGTCAGACAGTCACAGATCGAAGTTACACCTCTGACATACTAGCTATGTGATCATGGGAAAGTCCCTTGACCTCTCAGACTATACATTACTGCTGAGTTGCCAATCTGTAATGACAGAGGGAGCTTCTACACCAATGAAATCAAAAGTCTAGACAATTCCAGCCACCAGACAGAAACTTTATACATAATGTAAAGGATGAATGGGAAATTGATGGATTGGCCCTGATAAAATATGGAGGAAGAAGGACCTGGACAAAATTTCCTCTCCGGTTGCTAACACTTTCAGTTGTACCTTCACTTGAATAACCTCCAACAGTAGTCTTGACAATGGATATCTGAAAAACAGGGAGGTGTCTTACACTGAAGTCTTTCCTGTAAGATCTCTTTTGAATCTCCAGTAACTACTGACAGGTAAAGCAGTTTGATACCTCGGAAAGAAAGGCACTGAATTGTTATTCTTCAAATGGAACTGGGCTTATTGCTAATAGAGTCCATGACACAAACAAGTCCTTCCTTCTGTGGCCCACCTGTCTTCCAAGTCTTGTGTACCAGTGAGCAGAGTACGTTGCCTGGCATCTTAGAAGCTGGCTAAATGCCCATGATGTTGTAAAAGGGTTATTATAGGAGATAGGTGGTTGCACGAGACCTTGTAGAAAGGTCCCTTCCGACCTAAGAGTCTTGACTTTCCAGGGCCCCCCTCCCTCACTTCACATGATTCTTGGATATCCTTCCACTCTGATTGTCTCCCACTGTTACACTTTGTTGTTCATATCTATAGACAGACTTTTCAAAGGGAAGCAGAACTCTAAAGTTGACAGCATTGTGGGAAAGGCCAAGATTAAGTCAGAACATGTAGCCAATCTACTTATGGTACACTTCTAGAGATGCTAAATGCCACCTGAACCCTTATCCTTTGTACAAAACTTCCAGATTCACAACAGGTAAGATACTTTACAGAATTTCAGCTGGCATCAGCATACCCTTAGACAATGTTTTTCTGGCAGTCACACCTGGCCATTGGTGGTTTGGGAGAGGGAGCAGGTGAGGGGGTAGATGCTAGAGAGGTTCAAAAGCAGGGAGGGAAGTGGGTCACATACTCTTAGAATCAAGAAGCCAATGTATTTCCAAGAGCATGTTTACTTCTCTCACCAGAAGGAAGACTTTTCTTTAAGGTAGGAGTCACATTCTTAATTCTACTTAATGTATGACTAATTTTACCTGGTCCAAGTCATTTCGCAGAGCGATTTTGCTGGTTACAAGTTCATGAGCAAGGTCATCATTCTCTTGTTCTAGCCGCATGCTGGCTTCCTGTAACCTCCGGTTCTCCCTCTGTAAAAAAAGAGCAATAGCCAGAAGGCTGTGAATACCTGTCCAGACTAGCAGACATTTAGGCCAGCAGCCAGGGGAGGGGTGGGAGTGGGGCAAAACAAGGGTGAATCTTAGAAGTGGAGGTAGGAGAAGGCAGAAGTGGCACAGTAAGGCAGGATGGCTGTTTGGGGGAAACAACAGTGAGTTAAGCCAGCGGTGCAGATGCAGTACTCTACCCAGCAAACTTCACAACTCCCCAGTACGCCCTCAGATGAAATGCACTGCTACAAAAAATGTGCCTTGAAAGGAAAAATCTTCCAGACGTGTATATTCTCAGCTCTGAGGTTTTACCTCACTACGTTTTAATATAGATTTAGAACCTACATGTGAGCCAGAAACACAGAGAAGAATCAGTTCTTCATCCTCAATAGGAAACTGCAGGCCATGGTAGTAGAACTAGAGGAAACATTAAGAGATACTTCTAATCTTTTTTTCAAAGATCAGGCAAAAATCAATCATGTTTTATTCAGATTATAAGCCTGGGAGTCAAGATACTCAGGTTCTGCTACAAGTTTGGAAGTAACTCATAACTGTGACCTCTTGGAACAAGCCGAGTTAACTTTTCTGGACCCCAATTTCACTGTCAAATGGAAGCAATGGTATTGAAGATAATATCTGAATGGCAAGGAAATCATCAGATGAAAAGCACTGTATAAATGTAAATTACTGGGCTAGATTTCTCTGGGTCATTACTAGAGAGTTCTCTGTCAAGTCAATGAGAATACCATTAGCAAAAGATATGGCTAAGACATCCCACCCCATTGAAAAAAACAAAGTCCTCGGAAGCTTCCACTCTTCTGTAAAGACCCCCAGAAATACTCTGTCAATAACTGGACTATTTATCTTATAATTCTTTCTAGTACTTATGGTTCTAAAAGATATAAACTTAGATCTTTTTTTTTTTAAAGAATAACAATTCGGTGCCTTTCTTCCAAGGTATCAAAATGCTTTAGCTGTCAGTAGACACAGGAGGTTCAAAAGAGATCTGATAGGAAAGACTTCAATGTAAGACACCTTCCTGTTAAATATGCATTGTCAAGACTATTTTCTACAAGACAGGCAAAAATTCAATCAAAGGAGCCAAATCTGTGGCTCTGGGAAATATTGCAACAGAGTGAATTGAATAGAGCACTAGGAAAGACGCTGTTGTTTGTGGACCTCATTTCAAAATAAAATAAACAGACAAGCCAGAGAGCTCCACCAAGCAGGTCACTGCATGATGCTGCTAAGTGTATGCCAAACAATCTCATGCATACTGAGGACTGAGTGCTAATGGGTAGGCCACCCCTCTGAAGGCTCCACTTGGGGTATTCCTAAGACTTAGGGTCTTTCCACTTTCTACTGAGTTGTAGAGAAGATAGTGGCAAATTTTGGGAAATTATTTTAAGAACAACACTTAAAAGTTTTTATGTCGATAAATTTTTTTTGGGGGGGGAATCCCAGAGAAACTTTATTACAAGAGCATTCTTCCCCTTTTGAAGGTGACTTCCTATTAATATAGGACGCACTGTATCCTCTGGAACAAAATACAGTGTAACAGCCTGTAATCAAGAATAAAGTATTGCCTTGCCAATAAAACTTTCCAAGACACTCCTTAAATGAAGAAGTTTACCCACTGGTAGATCAGCTTGTACCCAAAAGTAATTCTGTCCGTCCCTTCAGTGGAGTCTTTCAACTTTATCCCACCCTCCTAACAGAAACATGAAGAAACAGTTTGCATGTCACAGAAGAACAAAATCAGTGTCCTCCAATCACACCTTTCTAAATTCTACAAGAGACAACCAAAGGCCAGACAATCCTGCTTTCAGAACCCCTTTCTGGCAACATCTTTTCTACTGGCTATGAGCTATGTGTACGGACTTTTCTGAAGTTGTTTTTCTTTTTTTTTCTTTTAACAAGTTTTCTTAGGGCCAGGAAACAGGTATTTTGCAAACAACTAGCCTTGAATTTCAGAAGAATTTGTTGTGCAACACAAGTTGCACGATAAAGGAACTTTGTAATTTCTTTCACTTTGGTGTGTTCCTTTCTCAGTCTAAGAAAGAACTAGTCTTTTATCTCAGCTGAATGACTTCACTACAGCTTAAAGCATTCTTGTCTAACTGTCTCCTAGGCATACAAAAATCCCTCCAACCACATTTATATTACACTGACTGGAGTATAAGGAACAATGACAAACTTGCAGCCACTAGGATTCTTCAGGTTACACTGTAGAAGTGAGTCCAATGAGTCTCTGGCTAAAGTGGCTGGACGCTTCCCAATCAGTATTTGGTCCAAAACATTCCTACAATGTCCCAAGGTGACCAACCACCTGACTTTGGGTCAGAGATCTGCTGATCGTGTTTTTTGTTGAACAACAACAACAACAAGATGGTTCCGCTGTCATCCTGGCCAGAAGTAGGAGCTGCATATTAAAGTAATTACCAGAATTGTAAATAATCCTTTATAGGAGGACAGCCTAGAGGAAGAGCTTAGAGAAACCAGGAATGTCAGATGGCCCCTTAAGAGAGGTACAAAGTAATGGTGAGGGGGAACTGGCCCCTCCCGCAAGAAGCTTCATTTCAGTGTCTGCAAAGCAAGCCGCACAACGTGAGGTCTCAGGCTCCTGCTTCACTCACAGACAAGTGGGAAAGCAAGCAAAGTGGCTAAAAATGCAGCGTCCTCCTCCTCCTCCTCCTCCTCCTCCACTTCCTCCTGCAGGGATCTTATGAAAAGGGGAGACTAGCTGTTATGCTAGTGAATAAATCACTGCTACTGAGGAGAGGGTCATCTCCAAAGCCAAGGTAGCCTCCTGACCCTCGCTTCCCACAGACAGCCATAAGCCAAAGGGAATAAGGCTGCATTACTGGGCTGGCTGTCCTGGCCCCTCCCGCAGGGGCACTACCAAGGATGGATTCCTTGGGAGAAACCTCAGGGTTCTACAAATGAAAACTGGACTAAAAAGGAAGGGAAGAGAGTTTCATTTTGACGTATTTCAGAAAGCTTTGTCTAGGTCATTCTGAAACCTGGGCAAGGAATCTCTCTCTTGCTATGCCTGGAGAGTGATTCTGAAGATTTTGTTTGATGGTCAAAGGGTGCTTCTGTTTTTGTGGGAGCACTCTATAATCTTGCACAAGCAGACGAGTCAGACTTGCTGAATGCTCAGAACTGGTAAACAGACAATTGCTTCTTGCTCCCTCTCTGAAGAGACTGCAGTAGGCACTGTATTTCTAACATTTACAATTCTCACTTGACTTGAAGCACCCTCCAATATCACTTGGCCGACAGCCTCTGAATCAAAAGGGTAGTCTTTTCCTCCTGGATTCCCTTCCCCTGCTCTTCCATAGGGGAAGGATGTATAGCTGGGAAAGTTTGGTGAATAACTTTGGGAGGAGGATACTGCATTTTCTAAAGAGACAGACACGAATATTACAGACATACACAGATGAAAAACTTACCTCCTGCAAAGTCAGAGACCAACTACTGTTTTCAATCATAGGTACAAAAATAATGGAAAAAAGGATATCCAATGAAATTTAAGTGCCTACTAATAAAATTAGGAAACAGCACAACAAAAGAGACACTTGTTAATTCTATTTTGTTAATTTTTTCTCCTTAGAGACTTCTGTATGACAGCAAACATTTGGTGAAAGAAAGCTGACTTGAGAAAGCCAGTGGGCAAGTCCCAACTCAGGAAGACCGATAAACTCAAACTCCACCCTCTCCATGATGCTATTCTCAGCTTGCATGACGGATGAATATGTTTGTACATAGGATGATTAGTAGTCATGGTGTAAGTTGTTTCCACTGCTGTCATGAAAGCTGGGTGGGACTCATTTACATGTACAGTGTCAGAAACCTCACAAAATAGCTAATCTTCAAGCAACAGAGGGAGAACTCAGTGCATGCACAAAAAGCTGTTTGGCGATGAAAAAAAAAAAGCAAAAAATTTGTTCAGATTCCCATTTGTGTCTGTCCGTGGGCTAAGGTCTGGATGAGGCAGGACAAGGAATTGTAATATAGTTAATTTCAGGACCAGAAACTTGAGCAATGTTCACTGGCAACCAAAAGAAAATGTGGTAAGGTTTAAAGGGGGGAAAAATCATCTAGAGGAATGAGGTTTTAGAAACCCAACTCTGTTTTGGGTGTGTTGTCTGCTGCTATGATGAATTCTTGGCACACAGATTTAAGTGACTTAAGGGTCAGGAAAAATGCTTCTCTAAGTGCGAAGCATAATTTTATTAGCAAGTATATGCTCTGCTAGCAAACATTTCCTTTTTTTATATCTCACTCTTGAAAAAATACGTAACCAACAATATTGACATTTTGAGCTGACAATCTCAAGGCACACAAGGACAAATGTACCCAGATGACATATTTTAAAATTCTACACAATCTGAAAAATGAAGACTTAAAAATAACAAGTTTTCATTTTTGAAGCCTTACTCTAAGACCATATGTGGCAATTTCCTCCCTTTCTTTGCCATATTCCCTAAGGAGATCTCTTACATTGAACTGGAACAACAGTTTCTGATCTTTTAAAAATCTCAACAATAAAATTAAATGGCAGTTGGCAACCCAGACTGCATTTCTTTTTTGCATCTCAAGAACATCTTTGGAAATACCAGCTGATTCTCCAACATGAAAATGAGATTAAAATAAAATAAACAAATTTCATAGGTGTTGCAGAAACCTGTTAGCGTGATGCAAATTTCTCACTGATACTACTGCAACAATGAACTATGTATACTAAAGATAGAAGATTAATTCTGAACCAAGTCTTTCTCTAAATGAAAGACACAGGAAATGGCACCTAGAGGCCTTATTACTTTTATACTAAATCAGCTGACAATATTTCAAGTGTAGGCATGAACTGGACACCAATTCTTTAGCTAAGGTCCTCAGAGACCTTATGTGGTTTGGGCTTGGCATTTTTCTGCATCCAAAAACACTCAAATTCATTAAGTTCTTTAATATCAAAGGGAACATGTGTCAACTTCTTAGAATTTATCATAAAGTTTTACTTTAGAAAGGACTGTACTGGATTTGGGATCAGATGTTAACCTGGATTCAAATTCCAGTTTATGGCCACTGGGACAAGTCAGTTCACCTTTATGGGCCTCTCTCTCATCATGATTGGGCTAGACTCGGTCTCTAAGGCCCAGATTGAAGTCCTCCGTTCCTAGGGAGAGAATGTGGCATAGCAGGAAGAAAGGTGAATCAGATGCCAGGACACCAGGGCTCTAGTCCCAAGCCACAGTGAATTCACTGCATGATTTTTGGTAACCTCTCTGGGCCTCAGTTTCTTCATTTGAAAAAGGTCCCTCTCTGCTCTAAATTATATGGTCCTTACATAGAATTCTATATTCTAGAAACATTCTTCTTGTCTACTGTTATCCATCTCAAATACAACATTTCATACCAGAAACATTTTTCAGAAGCTAATAGTTGTTTCTGTGGTACAAGAGACACTGAATCAGAATAGTGTAAATTTATCTCCCTTTGCAGAAGAAAACTCTTATGCCCAGAGATGGACACATTTATCTTAACCTCACTACTTTGGGAGGGGCTGAACTAGGTAAGAGGGACAGGCAGAGTAATTATTTCTAAGTATGGCATTTAATTTTAAACCTTTGCCTCCTTCAGTGGGCAAGACAAAAGGTAATAGATGACTTCTTTAAGTGACCAGTTAATAAGCAAATAAAGTAACAACTCAAAAATAATTAATCTATCCCTCAAACACCTTATATTCTTGCATAAAGAAGACCCAATAAAATGGTTTAAAGAGTTCAAGTTATTTTAGTGAGAACCATCAAAAATCAGCAAATGTGGGGAGATTTTTCAGTAAGCTTAAAGTGGAACTGGCCACCATTTTTCTGTCAATCCATTCTATTATGTGAATAATTTAAAAAATATATCAACAAAGTGTAATCAACGGCAGAAACAAACTGAAACACAAATTAAAACATTTGGTCTTTGGTTTGTTTACACTCTCCACAAATATAAGGCTTCATCTAAAAATCAGAACTATCCATGTGCCAGTTCAAGAGTGTTAGGAATTCTGACAACCTTTCCTAGATTTCTTATCTAGATCAGATAAGAAACTACAGCTTTTTATGCTTTGGGGGGTTCATACAACTTAATTAATTAGGTAGATTCTTCAAGGCTCAATCCTCATTTGTGCAAGCAGTTCTTTAATTAAACAAAAAACCATAATGTCTTCTGAAAGCAAGTTAATTTGGCTTTTCTCAAAAGTTCTTTATGTAGGACAGAGCCCTAGAAAACTTAGGAGGTTCTTCAAACAAAATAAATCTATTCTTTAGAAGACGAACTGAAACTTTCCCTTAATGAGCTAACAATCACAATTCAGGTGCCAAGTTATTAATATACCAATGTTATCTTTAAATTAGATGTACTTGGACAAAAGTTAAAAATGAAGTATGGTATTAATGTTTTGTAACAGATGAATGTGTTGTCCGCATTTTATTCCATTTGCAATCAGTACAGGCCTTCCTAATCTAAATATTGGGCTGGCCAAGTGAGCGCTACACTAAACTGGCCAGGTAATGAATGACATTTAGTGGGAGTCAGACAGTCAATATGTTACATTTTTCTGGCCTTGATGTTTTTCTTTCTATCTCTGGGTTAACTTTCAATGTGATAAGGAATGAGAAAACCCCAAGCTACTACTGTGGGGCTCAGAGTATCAGAGGCATGCTGGTGTAAAGCTAAAGGCAGCCAGTGTTTCCAATTAGAACCTAGAAACAGGAGTCACTATAAAGAAAGCACACAGTAGGCCCCGGCACAATGTACACTGATGAAAACTCCTACGCGGTGTCCAAGGTAAGGCCTCCCTCCCACAGAAGACTGTGCTGACTTGGGTGGGGCTTATGAAAGGAGTGATTTTTTTTTCAAAGTGAAGGGATTTTCCTAGAAAAATTTAATTTAGAGTCCTCAGACTTAGACTGCTATTTTATCTGCCTCTACATAGTTTATATCTGGGTGACACTGAGTGGTGGCCAAAAGGTGAACTCTGACTTAACTGAGGCCTAAGCCATATAGATGTATTCAGGGCCTAATACAGGCCTCCACATACAATCTATATGAGCCCTAAAGCAAGCTGAGCCAGAATCGTCCAATCATTGCTCATTTCTACATTACTAGAGACCTAACCCCATTTCTGGGGCAGCTCCAACAGCATCTGTGACCTTCTTTAACCCTCTGCATCCCACCTCCCACTTCCCTTTTTCCCTCCTCACCTCACACATCAAGATGCAGGTCAATCATTGTCAGAATGGGACTAAGTATATTACACTTCTATTCTGGTGTAATTGCAGGTTGGCAGGAGAGACTGAGCCTCTGCCCAACAAAGCCACCTTCCCCATCTACCTTTGTGACAAATGGGCTGAAAAGACATGGGGTGATTTATGGGGAAGGTGAGGCCACCACACAATTGCTTCATATTTTCTTCCAAACCCCCTCCTTTAGGGACCTAAATTAACTTCCCAGTTACTCTTTAGCCAACTATGTTCCAAGGTCCACGTCAAGGTATTATATAGCTCTGAGTAGGAAGATTTTAATCTTAGATTTTATAAGACATATTTAGGAGATATTTGTTAGCACTCAGCAATTAACCTTTACAATACAGTTGTGACAATTACAGTTGAATATTTCTGAACAATATGGCGGTCTGGAAAATTACTGCTTTTGATTTTACACACTACCACTGCTACCTTCAAAATGTAATATGGCTGGGCATAAAAGCATTTTAGAAAGTCTGACACCTATATATGTTTCAGAGATTCCTTAGCCTGGTAGCCTACAAAAAATGTAAAGGGAAATATTTTGATAAATCCACCAGAGAAACAAAGACAGAAATGACGAAAATCTGTGACCCAGAGTTCATAATATGTAGCCAGAAACCAAGGATTTATTCAACTTTAAAAATAATATTTGTCTCTGGGGAAAAAAATAAAAGAAAACTAAAAAGGGCAAATTTTACTTGTGCCTTTCAAACACAAATGCTTATTGGTAGCCTATCTTGCTGATATTAAAAAAAAAACTTTCAAAATTAGTAGTTAAATTCCCAGAGCTTCCAGAATTATTTCAAATAATGACGAAAATAATAATTGACATTTATAAAGTGCTTTAAGGTTTGCAAAGTACTTTTCACACTTTACCTTATTTGATGCCCTCAACAACCCAGTGAGCTAAGTGCTACAGGTATTATTATTATTATTATTATTATTTCCATTTTACAGATGAAGAAACTGAGGGTCAGACACTGAGAGTAAGTGTCAGAGGTGCGATATGAATCCAGATTTCTCCTGATCTCAAGTTTAGCACCCCTTCTGGCATCAAACTTCATCTCTACACTTCTATTCAATATACTTTTGACCTATGTTTCTTCCCTTGATCTCAGGTCCATATTCGGAGTCAGAAGAGCCGACTTCAAATCCCAGCTCTGCTACATAATCCCTTTTAGACCTTGGGCAAACCATTTAAGCTCTTTAGGTGGTAGTTTCTGTATCTGTGTAATGTGAGGGTATTGACTTGGTGACCTCTCTGCAACTGTGGCCTAATTCCTTATGTATGTGCACTAATCAGAAAGCTGATGATATAATCTCTACTGTCTCCATTGGCTATATTTCAGAAATACCATCTCTGAAGTCTCTCTAAACCAGCAAACCAATTATGATGCCCGAAGAGTCTGAAAAAAGTTCCTCTTGAACATTCTCTGTTTTGTTAGCAAAGGTATACTAGAGGCAGAGAAAACAAGAACATTGATATAGGGTGGGCAAGGAGGTGGGCAAGTATGATGAGAGACTGGTGCCTCAGGTCTCTAGAAATCCAATAACACAGGGGAGATACCTATGGTGAAACCAAGAGAAATAACCCCATGACACTATCTTCCTTTAACTTCAGGGGGGCTGACCTAGTAAGAGAGAGAAAAGGCTCCCCACTGTGGTGAAATGGAAGTTATGCATGTTAGAAGGATGCTTTGGAAGTAACAGATAACGGGAGCACAGTGCTCTGGCCCACGGAAAGATGGCACCTCAGTGCTGGGAAGGATGCATATGGGGCATGCCAAAAGTCTAAGTGCAGTTTTAAGTTTTAATGGCTTGTACTCAGACTATGGGGACACTGTCTAACAGGAGAAGCTACAAAGCCAACCTCAGCCTAAAAACGTGCTTGGAGACTGAAGTAACTGTTAAAATGTCTGATAAACCCAGAGATGTTTCCATTGAAAAAAGGAACTTTGCAAAGCTGCACTTCTCCAACAGTGAGGTCAACACCTAAGGGCTGTGTATTTGCAAATGGCCTGCGGTAATCACTAAGGTGATGATGCTCCAAAGCTGGCTCAATCCTGAACCTGCAGAGAGTGGGCAGATGTCACTAGTTAAGTTGTAATTTACCACTTGTGCAAATAAACGTCGTGAGAAACACCATTACTCTGCTTCATACACCTTGGAGGTTTTATTCTTCTCCCAGGAGGGCAAATGCTGATAGTTAATATTTGCTACAGACAGAGGGGACTTAAAAACATCCTTATGTCAGTCTTGACACAGTTCACCTTCTAAAAAGTCTTTGGGAACGTAACCGCGCAGAGCTAAAAACAGTATCTGTAATCTCCTTTCTTATTCTGTAAGTAGTTGGGAGCCACTTTTTCTCTCTTTCTCTCCCCCTTTCCTTCTCTGTCAGCGTCTCATGTGGGATCCCCGTATAAATGCAACAGCGGAAGTTACCTACAAACATACAAACTGAAAGAAAAGAAATATTATGTTTGGCTCCTCTGGGGTTCCCATGGCAACGGGGTGGGGGGGGAGAGGGAAGGTATAAAATGAAAACATCCCTATCAACAAAGAGTCTGCAAAGCTTCCATAAAGAAGAGGAGCCCGGACCCACCGCCACCACCACCACCATTTTACACGGGTACAATGATAAACCTTGGGCACTTTCCCATGCTTGTGTGTACCTTGTATCTGTCCATAGGGTCCTCTTGTTGCAGCTGGCTCTCTCGCATGGTTTGATACTCTTTCTCATATTTCTTCAACTTCTTAGTAGGCACCTGAAGAGTGGAGTGAAAGTATGTTACAAGAAGAACACGTAGGGAAGATCCGATGATGCACTCCCGGGCAGTCAAGAAACTTACCGAATCTTTAGGTACGTCTCACCAAAGCATGTTTTTTGGTGTAGAATCTGAAACGCTGCCGGTACTAAAAAACTTTCTATTTTTTTTTAATAACAATACATGTAATAGTGTTAACAACCATTCTGTTTATAATGATTTCATAATTATTTATGCTTAATCTACCACTGTAATTGTAACTTAGGGTTCTAGGTGAGGAATATAAAGAAAAATAAAATTTATTTTCTATGTTCTAATGTTACATTTCTTTTTAGGTAAAAATATGCAACATGAAGAATTACTTAATAATATTAGGATTATACTTGGCTTTCCCACCAAACCTCTTAACCTTTACCCTCAAATAGAGTATGTAAGAGAAAGGATAAGGAGGACTAGATTTGTGGGAAGAGAAGAAAATAAGCATTTATATAACCCTTGTGTGCCAAGCAATGTGCTAAGCACTTTTACAAATATTATATCATTCGATCCTTACAACAACCCTGAGAAGTAAGTGCTATTATTATCCCCATTTTACAGTTGAGGAAACTGAGACAAACAGAAGTTAAGTGACTTGCATAGGGTAACACAGCTAGTAAGGGTCTGAGGCTGGATTTGAACTCAGGTCTTCTTCACTTCAGGCCCAGCTCTCTAAACTCCTGCCTCTTTCAACCATATCACATCATTGAGTAAAATGAAAGGACTGAGGTCTATCAGTCAATAAATGTTTATTAAGCACCTAGTGTGTAAATGCTCTGTGCTAAGCACTTTTACAAATATTATCTCATTTGATCCTCACAACAGCTATTACCATCCCTCATTTTACAGATGAGAGAACTAAGGCAAAAAGAGTGACTTGCCTAGCATCATACAGCCAGTAATTTAAACTCAGGTCTTCTTAACTCCATGCCACCAGAAGCATTGGTATAGAAAGGGCCCTTCTGAATAAGGAAACTCCTTCTACCAATGGAGGTTGGCACCTAGAACACTTGCCCAGGGTCATATGGCTGATCCATGTAGAAGAGAAGACTTAGACCCAAATCCTCCTAGCTCTGAGGCCTGGTCTCTGCTTTTATTATGTCACTCAGCCTCTCCTATGCCAGAAAGCAGATCCAAAAGTTTGCCAAAGAATAAAAGATGCCAGAAATCAATGCAGTACTGAATCTGGGCCCTTTTGGTTCAGAGTAAACTTTACCTAATCTACACCCCACTCCATGTTTTCCTCTTTTTGGAAAAACTCTTCAAAGAAACATTCTCCTACCTCCCCTGACATTCTTTCTCTCATAATTCTTATGGATGTTAGAAAAATGTGTTCTAATATGAAAACCAAATAGGAAAAAATTTCCACTGCATTTTATTCTATTCCCTATAAAATCTTGCTGTTATTATATCTTTTTCTAGTACGGGTTAATTATTCATGCCCCCATTTTACCTACTCAAGTTAAAGGCAGAAAGGCGAAGGGAGTGACAGAGATTACTTGGCAAGTGGGTGCTCTGCTAAATTTGTGACATCTTTCTTGCGGATAAAAACTGGTTCATAAACTTCTCAGCGTCCTGCACAGTTCCTGGCACACAAAGCTAAAAAGAAATAGTTGTTGATTAATACATATTTCCCTGGATGTATGTTGTGAAATTATTTGTTGCTGTTTTTAAAATGGTATTTAGTCAAACTACCTTGTTAGTGTCAGAGAAAGGCAAGAAGCCAGAATGAATAGAAAAATGAGTCTATTGCTTGCTAGGGTTGAGGCCCATTGTCAACTAAATGAGGAGCTTTTGGCTTGTTTCTAAATTCCATGGAAACTGGGTACAGAATTTGTTACATAAAAAGGAGGGTATCTGTTGTTCCTCATCTTCCTTCCTCTTCTCAACTTTTGACCTTTCCACCAAGGGATATCCTTTTTGAATCTTAGGAGACCTGTAATGCCTGATTTTGACCACAGTGAGGAAATTTCACAAGCTTATTTGATTAAATGTGATAGCCTGCACTCCATTCCACTCCTGCTCAGTGCAAGGAACTGTAGAACTGTGTTAGGGCTGAGGTTAGAAAGATAGGAAATGATATGACTCTAGCCCTTAAAACTAACAATCTAATTGAGGAGATATGAGGAGGGTGGGGTTAAAGGAGGGAAGGAAGGAAGGAGGGAAGAGGAAAAAGAAAAGGAAGGGAAGGAAGGAAGACAGGGAGAGGGAGAATAAAAGTATGATGGGTTTATGTAATAGGGGGAAGGAGAGACAAGGTGCTCAAGAAAAATGGATGAGGGGATGACTTTCAGCTGGGGAAGCAATCAGGAAAAACTTCTTGGAGGAAATGCAGCCTAAGCTGTGCCTTGAAGAATGAACAAGATTTCAACAGGCAAAGATGAATAGAGAACACATCCCAAGCTGGAGAGAAAGCTTACAGGAATTCAGACAGAGAATGCATGAGATTGGGGAACACCTCCAGTACAGATGGAACAAAGAAAGTGTGAAGTGGAATAGAATGAAATACGGCCAGGAAGGTAGCTTAGAGACTTTCTGAAGTCCCAAAAAGGCAAAGCCAAGGAATTTCTCTTTTACGCCACAGCAATGGTCACTGGAACAAAGCAGTGACATTGTCAGCAGACCTGTGGCACTGATTAATTCTACCTTAACTCACAGTAGGAAAGTGAAAAGACATCAAGAAGGACCAAAATGCTTACATATAACCACTGTAGCTCTTTGGCATATATAACAACTGTAACATTTACCTCCAAACTACCCGTTGTACACCTTCTGCTTTTCAGCTACACTTTCTTGCCAGTGGTTCATAATATTGTCTTGTCTCAAGTTTTCTAGTTTTTATTATATTTTGCCAACAAATCATTAATTGACCACATTTCTGTCAATATAGTCAAAGAAAAAAAGTCAGAGAGTATAAATAGCTGGCAATTGTGTTTTCAAAGGGGTTGCTAAATTTCATAGCCATTGCTAAAGATTTCTCATTGGTCATGAGACACTAAGCCTTGATGCTCTCTCATGAGGCCATTAACAGCCCAGCTGTGACCAGCTGCAGTGAAAACAGAGAAGAAAGCACCACCTGCTAATTGGAGAGCCCAGCAGGCAAAAAAGAAGGGAACTAGATACAGCATCATAAGCTCTTAATATCACTGGGGCTAAGGGGCAAATGCCTAAAGATGCCAAGTGACGGTAAGGTCTTTTAGACAACCCTCCCAAATAGACCAGTAAGCTTTCCTATCTAACTGCATTATCTACCACAGGAAGTTTAGTTCATATAAAGGTTTTTTAGAAAATCAAAAGATCAACCATCATCGCAATTCCAGTGATTTAAGTTTATAGAAAAAGTCAACTAATTTTGCTGTTTATGCTAAGAGCTGAATTTCAAAAGGCAAACTTAATGAAATCCACCGAACACCCTCAAAAGGTAATCCTTTCCCATCTGGCCAGAAGTCTAGGCTGTTTGGTTTGATCTTGCTCAGGGAAACACAGCAGGTTCCCAGAACGATATGTTGCTAGGATACCTTCCAAGCTTATTTATCTCATGCCTATGGTGTGATGTTGAGTATCCACCAGTGACTGGCACAAAACGAAAGGGAGAAAAAAGATAGAAGGAAGGAAAGGGGTAATGGTTAGGACTACTGTTATTTATGAAGTAATAAAAGAAGACACTAAGATTGTTGCCATTTAAAAAAACTTCATTTCAGGGCAAAACTGGTTATTTTAGGCAGTAGAACACTGAGGGGTGGAAATTTTCCTATCAGCAAAAGGTTAAAGGATGTAGGTGGGGGTGGGAGAGAAAATTATACCCAATTGTGAAGAAACAGTAAGAAAACTCTTTAAGTATGCACTTCTAATGAAAAGAACAGCACGTCTCTATCTAGAACTATTGGGCATGTCATAAAACAACCTATTATCTCAATGTGGAGCATAGATATGCCTCCCTTTAGTAAAAATTACCTTAAAATAATTCTAAACTTAAGAAATTCATTAACCCAATCACCAATTTACTTGAAGGAATAGCAGTCCACAGACATTAATCATTTTAGGGTCCTAAACCCCACTACTACCTATCTTATCTGTTACTGACATCAAGTGGAGTAGACAGCTCCTCCTGTTTGCATTCATTACAGATAATTGCAAGAAACTGTGTAATACCCCACCATAAAACCAAGGCTTTATGATAATGAAGTGCTTTAAGGTTTGTAAAACATTCTGTATACCTGATCTCATTTGACTTTTCCACTATTCCTCTGAAGTAGGGTGGGAACAGTAAGTATTCTCCTCATTTTACAGGTGAGAAACTGAGGCTAGGAGAAGTAAGGGAACTTATTTTCCTATGGTCACACAGTAAATGTCCCAGGCAGAATTCAAACCCAGGTCCTGCCTAACCACAAGAACAGTATTACTTCCAAAATGCACACTGCTTCTCACAATAATAAGCACTTAGCATTGCATAAAAATAACAAGAAAATGAAATAAATTAGGAGCTACCACAGCAATAGGAACAGTATAAGGGAGGACTATACCAGGTTGGGAATGCTTTGGGCAGTTTATTTCCATGACCTATAGTACAGTTCCCTGTGTCCTGCATATAAGTATTTACTAATAGTACAAACATTGAAGTCTTCCATCTTGGTAAGTTAAACCAGTCAAACCAGTCTACTGAGGTTTTCTAGGCGACAACTCAGAAAGACCTCAGGTTGAAATTTGTTTATAGCGGAGAACACAGACTTTTGAAAGAGTTTGGAACATAGCAGGCACTTAATAAATGCTTATTGATTGGTAAGCCAAAGTCTGAATATATCTTGCCTCTACTATGGATTCTGTAGGAAATTTTCATATACGACTTTCCCTATAAGTAAGTTAGAAATGATCCCTTGCTATTCTCTCTTGAACAAAATGTAGTCGCCAAATATCACACTGCTTAAGGTGGCACGTGAAGAAGTGGACAAGAGGGTCTGACAATT